TGAACACTTTTTTGTGATTTATTAACCCTGTGAATATGTCGAGGAAGTGTAATAATGATCCTAACTCTTTTTGTTATGTCTGCGGAGAAGTAACATTCAAAAAACAACGACGAAATTTTACGAATCTTGTGTTGGAGTGTTATCACCAATGTTTTGGTTTTTCTGTCGCCCATCAAGACAAATCCTGGGCCCCTCATGTCTGTTGCATAACGTGTGTGAAAAATTTAACTGACTGGAAGAAAGGTGCACGACCTATGCCGTTTGCTGTACCCATGATATGGACTGAACAGCGAGATCACGTTTCAGATTGCTATTTTTGTCTCACAGACATAAAAGGTATAAATTACAAGAAAAAAACCACAGTTATTTACCCTAACTTATCTTCGGCTATAAGACCAGTCTCTCATTGTAAAAAAATGCCAGAACTAATACCAGTTGCAACTACGTCTGTTGAGAACAATTCACAACCATCCACTTCAGGTGAATGTGTTGACGAGGACGATGACTTTGAGTTAAAAGGAATTTAAACGAGCCACATTTGATAACTCAAGGAGACCTAAATAATTTGGTTCGGGATTTAAATTTGTCAAAAAAGCAGTCAGAACTATTAGGATCACGTCTAAAAGAATGGAATTTGCTACATCATAATAAAAAAGTTATCTATTTTCGAAACCGTGATCAACACTTCAGAACGTATTTTTCTCAGGATGGAGATTTGGTGTTTTGCAATAACATAAATGAGATTATGAAAATGTTGGACATAGATTTTGATCTCTCTCAGTGGCGTTCATTCATTGATTCTTCGAAAGCAAGTCTAAAAGCAGTGTTATTGCATAATGGAAATAAGCTTCCGTCAGTACCTCTGGCCCATGCTGCAAATATGAAAGAAACCTATGAAAATATGAAACTTTTACTTGAAAAAATAAATTACAGTACATATTCCTTCAAAATCTGCGGTGATCTTAAAGTTGTTGCACTATCACTTGGACTTCAGCTGGGTTATACAAAGTTTTGCTGCTTTTTATGTGAATGGGATAGCTGAGACAGAACTAATCACTATATAAAAAACATGGCCTACGCGTGCATCGTTAGTTCCTGGGCAAAAAAACGTAAAGTATTTACCCCTTGTACAGCCAAATAATGTGCTTCTAAGGTTCGAACGCTCTTAGAATATGACCGCTACGTCATCGTGGGCGGGTCCGCTCATCACGCGGTCGTCGACAGAGCGCAGTGGCGTTCTATTTTATTTGAAGTATAAAATAAAGTGAATAGGTTGTGTAGACATTGATCATTAATTGATTTTTGTATTATTATATTCATTTAGTATGCGCATTAAGTTGTTCGGAAGCAAATTTGAATTAGAAGAGGGAGCAAACTAAAGACGGTTATAATTCAAATTATATATTATCATTAAAAAATCTAATCGCTATCAGATGATAGTGTGTTTAGCTTCAAATCTTCATCTGAGTCGCTTTCGTCACTATCTTCTGATGATGACCCTGTGTTCACATTGAATTGATACGTATCCATTTGATCGTCGAGAAGATGTTCTTTTTCCATTTGTGCTTGCTCATATTTTTTCACGTGGTTACAAATTTTCTTCCACTCATCTGCTCAAATTTCTTCAAACCTGCTACGGGTCAGATGCTCCACATCAGACAACCTAAATGTCACATTTCGTGGAGCAACCCAGTTTTTTACGAGAGCCCAAATCTTCTCGATTGGGTTTAGCTCCGGATGATATGGAGGCTGTCATAAAACTTTATGCCCGTGCTGTGTTCCATTAAGGCATCTAACTTGTATTTGACTGGAAATCTTCTTTTATTTTCCTGTATTTTTTTATATAGTTCGGCCTTAGTCAATGAGTTTTCACTAGGAATTTGATGTTTTTCTAGCCAGTCAATCATCTCTGATTTCAGGCTAGAAGACGTTACATTTTTTTGTTCCAGGACATTGTGATAAGAAGCGTTGTCAACTACAAGCACAGAATTTTCAGGCAAATTTGGGATCAATTGGCTTTCTACCCATTTCATGAAGTTCAAATGATTCATGTCGTTGTGGTAGTCCCCAGATTTTGAGCCTGAAAATAAAATACATACATATAATCCAGTAAATTTAAAAATATATTGGAAATATTTTACATCATTGTAACACAAATAATACCTGATTTGAATATCAACAAGGCGTTAGGAATAAAGCCGAATTCTCCACCAGCATGCACAATAATCATTCGTTGTCCTTTTGATAAAGGCGTTTTTAGTTCCTTGTCATAATTGTCATCTGACCATCCTTTTTTTGGGGTATGACTAGAATGTATATATGTTTCATCCGTATAAATTATGTTCCTGTTCTCAGCTCTATATTTCATAATTTGCTTCAGATATTCGATACGCTTCAAGCGAATTTCATATTTTTCCATGAGAGCTCTTTTATTATCAGTAGTTCTTTTCCATCTGTAGATATAAATTATATTTATAGCGTTGTAAATCGAAAACCTTATAGTGTGTATGAATACTGACCTAAAGCCCATTTGTTTCAAAAGTTTTTTCAAAGTCGTTATTTTACCCTCAAAATTAAGTTGTCGATCTTGCATTTTTTGGTAAATACCTAAAAAATCTTAAAATGAAATATGACTAGATGCTACGGTTACAATTTAAAAACTTACATTTCAGCGAAGGTCTTCTTTTCTCCAAAATATAAAAATCGTATATGATTGCTTTCATTTCTTCAATTTGGCCTGCAGTCACTTTATCCACAACAGGTGATTTTCGTTGCCGCTTTTTAGATGGGGATGAAAATGAAAAGTTGCTTGAATATATTCCATCTCTGCTCTCTTTAGCTATTTTTTGATAAGTACATTTACTTATACCCGTGGCAGCTAACACACGTTTCCTAAATGGGTTAATCAGTTTTAATTGACAATAATAATTATAAAAATCTTTTACATTCATACATACCGGTATTGTTGAAGTGGAAACTTTAATCCCTCTACACTTTCCTGTACCATGAAGTTATTGACATTGTTGATAATTTCCTTTCCTTGACTCCCAATCGTCTTTCCTTTCACGCCAATCTCTTTCACAGACATTGTTTAGATCACTGGTTCAAAACTATTAATAATTTAAATTTGAACAATAGTAAAAATTTCCACTATATTTCAATCTATTTGACAATTTTTACACACGGTGCCTTGTTCAAATTAGTTTATAAACTGAACTTATGACTAACGGACAGGTTTATATATCTGTTGCAGGTAAAATAAATGTGATTGATTAACACTCATCCTCTTAACGCTACTTACGAACGAAGGGATTTAGCAACCGGGAATTATTCCAGGTAGTTCAATTTTACACTTGTTATTATTAGATTTGTTTCTACTAATTTTGTTTACCTACGCTTGATATTGGTATTAGCCTATTTATCTAGGTACTAATAATGCACTCTAGGAAGTCTCATGATTGGTATAGATATAAGCGGATCACAGTCTTAGGATTAATTTAATTTCTTTCAGTTGTTTGCCAACTTTGGGGTTTTATCCTTCAATATTGTGTCTATTATATGTAGGTACCTGTTCACTATTTTAAATTTTGATTTATGGATCTCCATCAAATATCCACAAACCCCATAAGATTAATAATTTTCAACACAATCAAATATAAAGTATGATATGGTTAATAAATAAAAAAATAAATAAGTCAAAGAAACGTCTCATCAGATCCCAATTGTGTCAACAATCTCAACTGACTGAAACTTGCGTATCTACATACTAAAAAACGTTCCGCCTATGGCTTTCTGAGAGTGGGATGTCCCTTAACAGCGTCAACAGCAACATAATTTCTGGACATTGAAGACCACATACATTTTTAAGCTTTCTACGATATAAATATTCGCCACGATTAGAACTGGACCACATTAAGAGGGCGGTAACAGATGTCCATAAATCTTACCAGAGACTGCCACAACAATTTTCTATATTCTTATAGGGTACAATCGACGCAAGGGAGAGGGTATAAAGTGATGACGTAGCGGGCATAACCTTAGGCTGTTCGAACTATACCACCATTGCATATCAAATTAGGATTAATAAAAAATTTTGTGAAAGCAATGGATCGCAATGGGAGTGGATTTTTGTATCTAAAAGAAAAATTCCCTAAATTAGGGAGTTAATAAAAGATTCAAGATTTGAAGAAAAATTAAACGATTTAGAAACATCTGCATGAAAGGCTTTTAAGAATGTTGTTGCACATTTTTTGGGTAACCACAAGAGTGACAGCTACAGAGAGTTCGTTAGCGAGCTATTATTGTCATATCAAGCATTGGGTTGCAACATGTCACTTAAGATCCATTTTTTAGACTCGCACCTGGATTTTTTTCCTGACAATTTAGGGGCTGTCAGCGACGAGCACGGTGAGAGGTTCCATCAGGACATTTCTAATATGGACAAGCGGTACCAGGGCAAATGGAGCCCTAATATGTTAGCAGATTACTGCTGGACAATTAAAAGGGACAAACCAGAAGCTAAATGTTCAAGAAAATCTTAGATTATCAAGTCATTTATAAAAAAAATTACTTTTGATTTACGAGATCTGTGTTTTTTCTTAATATTTTAAATTACTCAATAGAATAAAATCCTTGTCTAGCAAATTTTTTTTAACTGTTTATTTTTTCTTACAATCACCAATTAAAGTAAAAAATATCAAAAAAGTCCGTGTGGCACGATAAAGTTAAAATTTTGTTGACCAGTGTTACAGCCTGTGGCCCAACGAACGAACCCCCATTTGTGACTCTCCTGGTATATTTTGGGAAAAACGGTCGGATACGTAAATTTTGATTTCTACGTCGTACAATACAGGGCAAATGGAGACAATGAAAATTCCCAATAACCAGCCCTATACACTCTACGAATATCCACCATTATATCTAAATGGAAGAATTGAGAGATAGATGTTATTCAATCCTCATTTGAGCTTTCTCCAACAATGACCTCGTACTATTTGCAGGAATGTACAAGGGGACTCTAAACAGCTTCTGCAGAGTGGTTGTAGACTGTAAGGAATACGGCTACTACTGTGCTGGCAACAGAACATGTCAATGTCTTCCAAGCTACGTTCCAAACGATAAAGGACAACTGTGCCTGGGACGTAAGTATAAAAAAGAGTATAATTTTGTTTTTGATTGTATAGATTGACAGATCAGACGTCGTCTTGGCAAACAAGATTGATGGTAAGCCAAACAACTTGTTTACAAAGTTGTTCTTTCACTTGTTAATTATTGACATAGATCCTTTAGGATATATAGGATAATAGGAAAATGTATCCCCTTTACTATACAGGGTGACCCAATATTTTGTGGACATATAAGTACCACGTACTTTTAGACTAGCGTCGATTGGACATGACTTACCTATATGCAAAAGTGCTTGGTTTCTTCTGCTTTGAATGATTTGAATGAGATTTGGAACACATGTGTTTTGCTAGATGTTCAGATATTTGAATCTTACTAAACAGCAGCAGAATTATTATGGCAACTTTTCCGACGACTCTGTTTTTCTTTAATTTAGCAGATCCTTTTATTTACTTTACTTTTTGTCTCTTATAAAAACAGGCCATCTCGGATGGTTTTGGTGAAAAAAAAATATAGTCGCATCAAGAGGTTCCTACGCGTTTAATTAATTCTTAAATTAAATTAAATTGAATTCTTTAATTTTAATAAAAAAAATTCTTAGAAACCACCCGCGCAAATGATTTTTTCTCGAAAACTATGCGAGATGGTCTGTTTTTATCAGAGACAAAAAATCAAGTAAATAAAGGATCTTTTGGACAAAAAACTCGAACCCTTTCGGTTTTTTTGTAAAAGTCAAATATTTGGAAATCCAGCGAAACAAATGTGCTTCGTTCAAGTCGAAATACCGGTTACAAAAATATCTGACAAAACGTGTCGACGAACTCTAACGGACAAACGAAGCACTTTTGCATGGAGGCGATCTATTTTGAGTCTAAAAATACGTGGTACTTCTATGGCCACAGAATGTTGGGACACCCTGTAGAAGCACTTCGAAATCAGGCTGTTTTATACATTCAAAATTGGCCCTATTGCTTTTCAGTATTAGACTGTCGCGAGCTGCCTTAATTTCAATATGTATGGAGCTCATACAAAGGCAGAAAATTTCGTAATTAACCATTTTCCGACCCAAAGTAGGACAGCACATATTTGCTTAGCACGCGAAATGATAGATAAGGATATTTAGTTACAAATATTTAATTGCTTTGCTTATACCTTTTTGGTATAAATTCTGATGAGAAATGCTTGCAATGTCCCACAGGTAGTACATGTCTAGCATTTTTCAGAAATAAGGTATTTTAACTTCGATGAAAATCGTAATCATTGTAGTCAAAATGTACTTCTCAATACGAGATTTTGGTCGTACTCTGTTATTATTACAATTCTATTATTATCTTTAACAAATGCCTGATATCATTTATTAACGTAAAAATAAAAAAAAGGCGTCAAGTAGATTGTCTCTAATGTATATGTCATATAACTTAGAAAAGAAATAATATCTAAATTCGGATTTTTTTTTTTTCAATTCAGTTAGTGTTGTGGGGTGAAATGATGAACAGATGTTTGTTGCTTTCTACGGTGAATCTTTTGTTTTTATTGGTGTCATACCTTATTGTAGTCTGCTATTAGACGTTTACAATATACTTTGAACATTTACATATAGATTTACACTTCTTTTGGACAGTTTTTTGTCGCGTTGAGAAAAGGTGTGGACTGTATTATTAATTTGTTCTCTCAAGTCTCTATCAACGTTGCCACGTTGAGCACATTGTTCGGAAACAGCGTAGGAAATAATGTCATCAGCGATGGTGTATTTCGACATCCAAAACATTCAAGTATATATCCATATATGCTTATATAGTTGAGTACAGCGCCATCGATGAGATACAAAGCTTTGGCAAATTCTCATAGATAACGCCAGGATATCTGGTTTCATGTCGAATAATTTTTTGGAAGCTGAAATACTTATACACAATAATATATATATATATATATATATATATATATATTATATATATACAGGGTGACTTTGAAGTTGAGTCATTAATTTTCAGATAATGATTGTAGAAGGAAGATAAACCAAAATATGTGTGTAAAAATAAAAAAAAAATAAAAAAAAATGTTTACCTTGTTTTATAAAGTATCCTCCCGACAAGTATTTCAGTGTGGACCTGATCATGAGGTCCCCTGTGAGGTCTTAAGTCACCTGATTCACGAGCCCGTTGTACTACATTAACAAAGGCACGAGGGGTTGGTTGCACTCGATTGGGAAACCGATCCGCATAAACATGTGCCATTTTTTATTTCGTTTGAGCCACGCAACAGACACTATTCACACGCAACTGAGACTGACTGTATGTATAACTGAACTGAATAAAATAAGGTAAAAATATCGTTCCAAATTCTTTCGCTTTTTTGTTTCCGATGCGATGAACCGATAAGGTGGACTATATCCGTTGTTGCCAAACACGAACACATGATATTATTATTGAGACAGGGCGGTACTCAAACTTCCAAAGGGCTATAACTTTGTTACTTTAATTTTACCAGAAAAATGGTAAAGGAAAAAAACATTTCTTTTGATCAGATCTACTCACTGTTAAAATAAATGACTCAACTTCGAAGTCACCCTGTATATAACTTGAGACGTGGTCATTGTCGTCTAAACCAGTTAGGTGAAAAATTAAAGCTTCCGCCTTTTGTTGGGTACTTCGACAAAATTTAAGCAAAGAGGACTCTTTATACTTTTTTTAATTCTCTCTAGCTTTCAATGGACTTTGCCATCATCATCAGGAGCTGCAATTACAATGATAACAGTAGCAACAAAAGTGTAAAATGAATTTAAAATGAATCAACTTACAGTAGTATGTGAGGATGTTGCTAATTGTTGTTTTCGTATAGGATGAGGGAAACGTCCAGTAACATGGTGAGAGCTGGATACATGGTACAATGGTTAAAATTATATAAAATATGACAAGACAAGTTAAATACAGATTAAAAATTATTTAGAAAACATTAGAGCATTACGTCGTAAAGCAACTTGATGATTGCACAAAATGGTGGTCATGGAATAATGAGTGAGATGAACCTTTGACAGAAGGCCGAAGGTTGTCAATGTCTGTGTTGAAAGATGGAACGAATTGTGGGCGTGTGCAATTTCTTACATAACATTCTGAAAATCACATCATCTGAAGTGATTTGGCAACGTTTTGGCACACGCCCACAATTCGTTCCATCTTTCAACACAGACATTGACAACCTTCGGCCTTCTGTCAAAGGTTCATCTCACTCATTATTCCATGACCACCATTTTGTGCAATCATCAAGTTGCTTCACGACGTAATGCTCTAATGTTTTCTAAATAATTTTTAATCTGTCTTTAACTTGTCTTGTCATATTTTATATAATTTTAACCATTGTACCATGTATCCAGCTCTCACCATGTTACTGGACGTTTCCCTCATCCTATACGAAAACAACAATTAGCAACATCCTCACATACTACTGTAAGTTGATTCAATTTAAATTCATTTTACACTTTTGTTGCTACTGTTATCATTGTAATTGCAGCTCCTGATGATGATGGCAAAGTCCATTGAAAGCTAGAGAGAATTAAAAAAAGTATAAAGAGTCCTCTTTGCTTAAATTTTGTCGAAGTACCCAACAAAAGGCGGAAGCTTTAATTTTTCACCTATATATATATATATATATATATATATATATATATATATAATTACCACTACGTACAATTAAAGCACATTTACCATTGTTTCAACAATCGATGAATACCCTGCTTAAAGAAATCTCGTGGCTGCTGCGTGAAGAATTGTTTTACGGCATTTTGTACTTCAGACAAATACAAATGACAGGAACTGATCGTGTACAAACACAACAAACATTGCGGAATGTCAGTTGAGTGATTAGAATTGTTTCTAAGGCTAACCTGACCAAAGATGGGTTCCAATTGGACAAGCCTCGGCATTTGCGACTCTTTATAACTATACATCATAGAGCTCTGTTTTAGTCGTTTCTACAATTGTAGGACGCCTTTATGGCCTCCTTGATTTTCATAGCCTTTTTTCTCCTTCAGAAAGGCTGGGATATTTCTAGATTACTACTGTTCCCTGTCAGCGTCAGGGCTCTCCTATTGTCATGCTACGTTTTCTTCTTCAATTGTAAGAAATTTCAAACAGATGATGTGATCAATTTGACGCAAATAGATAACATAACAAAACATAACCTCAAAACGGAGCACTGACACGGAAGAGCAGAAAACTATGAAAATCATGAAGGCGTCCTACAAGCCCTAAAAGAGTGTATATCTTATTGTGGTTTTTTTTCAGTTTTAGGTGAAAAATGCAAATACGACGAGCACTGCATAGAAGGGGCGTTCTGCTATTTACAAGACACTTGCAAATGCAAAGACGAATATCGACCGTCGTTCGACAATATGTACTGCCTCAGTAAGTATTCGCAAGAGATTCTACTCGGAAAAATATGTCGACATATCTAATGTTTGTCAAGTTTATATGGTCAAAGTGCTTTTTGAATAGCATATTAGGTGCATTTGATGCATTTAAGAAATCATAGCGCGTTATTACTAGTTAAATAAAAATGCTTTGAAATAAACAAAGTGCAAAATACTCTTCGGAGGTTCTGGAATATGAAATATTGTATCGTGTACAAAATTTCCGAAGGGCAGCTGCGTATGAATCGCCACTCGATAGCAAAAGCACGCTGCGCTCCGGTCCAACGTTCCATTGTGACTATTTAACCCGCACGTCGAACGCATCAGCGTTGCCAGATTCATCGCACGGAATTATCGTACAAACACGTCAAAATTATCGTACATTATCCTCTCAGGATTCATGATGAAGGAAAATTTCCGTCTCTTTCCTATAAGCTTGCTGTCTATGTTTGGCTTTTTTTTGTTTTCTGCATTCGAGAGTATCGCATCTTTTGTTGTGCTACTCTCTTCCAGAGCAACTTGATTCGGAATCCGATATATTATCGTTAATGAATTGAAACCGGTTAAATATCGAAAATAACTGAAAACGATCTTTTGATTTTTAACTTTCAAGAGTCATAATAACGGGAGACGTCGCATTTATTTCATCTAATGCACATGGGTAAATATAAATATGCGCGTCATGTCAATACATAGAACGTGAGAACTGATTGACGGCAATTTTTCCTCTTGATATTTGCCGAGATAGTCCGCGTAATGCTAGGCAACCCATTATACAGAGTGGAGTACGCGCGGTTGTCTACCAAGCGGCAACACTGACAGCTGCCTGCTGATGTTAATTGACCGTAGTTGTTAGATTGATTCAACATCTGTGAGTAAAAAAGCTCGATCGCAAATTATCGTACATTCAGCTATTATCCTACACATAGTATGGTACATCGTACAGTACTTGAAATTATAGAATACAGAAACGATAATTATCGTACGTCTGGCAACGCTGGAACGCGTCGATCAAGACCTCTCCGCGGTTGGCGCGTAATTCAAATTTAAAAAATGTGAACTTTCCCACTGTGCTGGACTGGCATTTCACTTTTCCGTTTTTTTGCAGGTGGTGCAACATCTGTGACCAAAAACTACGTTCTAATATCAAATTTCCTAGTATTATCGTTATTGTTTTGCTTGAAAATTGTGTAGTTGTAGGATATATACATAGGTATAGATATAAAGAAAATATTTATTATTGTAAATATAATTTATTGTCATGTTATGTACAAAACTTGTTGCCATTTTGTGATTTATACCGTTTGATGGATTAATAAATCTTATAAGTGTACTTAAAATTGTAGATTACAATAGCGTTTTTTTTTCGTACGAATACCTGTTATTTTACAGTTATTGTATTCTGGTGAAATTCTGAAGTGCAGTCAAACCTAAGTACGAGTGACCGAGGTATTTTGTCAAAGTAAAACGTAACTCTTAAAATGCATATGACCATCCACGTTTCACTTTTCTGTAGAAGAACGTGTCTTTTGACCAATAATACTGAAGTTATTATTTTTGGCTAAAGTAATTGCGATTAGCAAGAGCGGCATAATTTAAGTATATAGGGGATGATTCTGATTAGATGAGAAACGTCGATAACTCCTGCGTTTGATCAAAAAGAATGCAAAGCCTGTAGTACAAATTTCGCAGAATTCCGATCAAAATCATAACATAAAAAATCGACGGAAGCACATTGCATATACACTATTTTTATTATAAAATCACACAGTACAAAAGATACAAATACAAGAAATAGTGGAACATTAATCAGTTTTATATGCCTACATAAATTATTATTGGCATTTTTTACATGTCAAAATGTATAAATTCATATATATAACTGAACCTGAATGGATAAATCCTCAAACTTTTCAGCTTGATGACTGCAAATACAATATTTTTTTAGTTCACTTCATTTATTTTTTCTCACACATAGATTATAAGCTTTAGCTCGGAAATCACATAGGCGGAGACGTAAAACTTGGATTATAGATCGAGGTCACCCTGGCATATTATTTTGTTGGTTCTTGAAGCCTTTATAATGTTCGACAGTGTATGACTCTTGAAACATACACAAACTTATCCTACTATTTAGAGCCAAAACACGATCGTAGTGATTCCCATAATAAACAGAATACTTCCAGGCATTATCCAGTGTGCTCCACATCCAACCTCCTGGTTCTCAACATCCGGAAAGCAACTGCACACTCTGTTCACACAATCTGCAACGTTCGTGAACTTTTCGTCCGGGATGCATTCCGATTGGTCGTTGCATTCATCACCTATTTTGACAGAACGCACGCATCTGTAATGAGAAAGTGTTATGTTGCAGACTAATAAATTATTTGACAAAATATGATGATATAAGCGGTTGTTTTAGAAACAACAAACACAATTGTAGGACGCCGTTATGACCCCCTTGATTTTCATAGCTTTCTATCGTTCCGTGTCAGCACTCTACTTTGAGGTTATGTTACAAATACCTATTTGCGTCAAATGGTTCATGCTATTGATTTATATCATTTGTTACATCAGCCTGAAATTTCCTACAATTCAAAAAGAAAGCATAGCCTCACGATAGAAAAGCGCTGACTCTGACAGTATAAATCTAGAAATGCCACAGCCTTGCTGAAGGAGAGAAAATACTATGAGAATCAAGGAGGCCATACAATTGTAGAACGCCTTTATGGTTAGCTTGATTTTCATAGCTTTCTATTGTTCCGTGTCAGCACTCTACTTTGAGGTTATGTTACAAATACCTATTTGCATCAAATGGTTCATGCTTTTGATTTATATCATTTGTTACATCAGCCTGAAATTTCCTACAATTCTAAACGAAAGCATAGCCTCACGATAGAAAAGCGCTGACTCTGACAGTAGAAATCTAGAAATGCAGCAGCGTTGCTAAAGGAGAGAAAATACTATGAGAATTAAGGAGGCCATACAATTGTAGAACGCCTTTATGGTTAGCTTGATTTTCATAGCTTTCTATCGTTCCATGTCAGCACTCTACTTTGAGGTTATGTTACAAACACCTATTTGTATCAAATGGTTCATGCTTTTGATTTATATCATTTGTTACATCAGCCTGAAATTTCCTACAATTCAAAACGAAAAAAATAGCCTCACGATAGAAAAGCGCTGACTCTGACAGTAGAAGTCTAGAAATGCCGCAGCCTTGCTGAAGGAGAGAAAATACTATGAGAATCAAGGAGGCCATACAATTGTACAACGCCTTTATGGTTAGCTTGATTTTCATAGCTTTCTATTGTTCCGTGTCAGCACTCTACTTTGAGGTTATGTTACAAATACCTATTTGCGTCAAATGGTTCATGCTTTTGATTTATATCATTTGTTACATCAGCCTGAAATTTCCTACAATTCAAAAAGAAAGCATAGCCTCACGATAGAAAGGCGCTGACTCTGACAGTAGAAATCTAGAAATGCCGCAGCCTTGCTGAAGGAGAGAAAATACTATGAGAATCAAGGAGGCCATACAATTGTAGAACGCCTTTATGGTTAGCTTGATTTTCATAGTTATCTATTGTTCCGTGTCAGCACTCTACTTTGAGGTTATGTTACAAATACCTATTTGCGTCAAATGGTTCATGCTTTTGATTTATATCATTTGTTACATCAGCCTGAAATTTTCTACAATTCAAAACTAAAAAAATAGCCTCACGATAGAAAAGCGCTGACTCTGACAGTAGAAATCTAGAAATGCCGCAGCCTTGCTGAAGGAGAGAAAATACTATGAGAATCAAGGAGGCGATACAATTGTAGAACGCCTTTATGGTTAGCTTGATTTTCATAGCTTTCTATTGTTCCGTGTCAGCACTCTACTTTGAGGTTATGTTTCAAATACCTATTTGCATCAAATGGTTCATGATTTTGATTTATATCATTTGTTACATCAGCCTGAAATTTCCTACAATTCAAAAAGAAAGCATAGCCTCACGATAGAAAAGCGCTGAATCTGACAGTAGAAATCTAGAAATGCCGCAGCCTTGCTGAAGGAGAGAAAATACTATGAGAATCAAGGAGGCCATACAATTGTAGAACGCCTTTATGGTTAGCTTGATTTTCATAGCTTTCTATTGTTCCGTGTCAGCACTCTACTTTGAGGTTATGTTACAAATACCTATTTGCGTCAAATGGTTCATGCTTTTGATTTATATCATTTGTTACATCAGCCTGAAATTTCCTACAATTCAAAAAGAAAGCATAGCCTCACGATAGAAAAGCGCTGACTCTGACAGTAGAAGTCTAGAAATGCCGCAGCCTTGCTGAAGGAGAGAAAATACTATGACAATCAAGGAGGCCATACAATTGTAGAACGCCTTTATGGTTAGCTTGATTTTCATAGCTTTCTATTGTTCCGTGTCAGCACTCTACTTTGAGGTTATGTTACAAATACCTATTTGCGTCAAATGGTTCACGCATTTGATTTATATCATTTGTTACATCAGCCTGAAATTTCCTACAATTCAAAAGGAAAGCATAGCCTCACGATAGAAAAGCGCTGACTCTGACAGTAGAAGTCTAGAAATGCCGCAGCCTTGCTGAAGGAGAGAAAATACTATGAGAATCAAGGAGGCCATACAATTGTAGAACGCCTTTATGGTTAGCTTGATTTTCATAGCTTTCTATTGTTCCGTGTCGGCACTCTACTTTGAGGTTATGTTACAAATACCTATTTGCATCAAATGGTTCATGCTTTTGATTTATATCATTTGTTACATCAGCCTGAAATTTCCTACAATTCAAAACGAAAGCATAGCCTCACGATAGAAAAGCGCTGACTCTGACAGTAGAAATCTAGAAATGCCGCAGCCTTGCTGAAGGAGAGAAAATACTATGAGAATCAAGGAGGCCATACAATTGTAGAACGCCTTTATGGTTAGCTTGTTGTTCATAGCTTTCTATTGTTCCGTGTCAGCACTCTACTTTGAGGTTATGATTCAAATAACTATTTGCGTCAAATGGTTCATGCTTTTGATTTATATCATTTGTTACATCAGCCTGAAATTTCCTACAATTCAAAAAGAAAGCATAGCCTCACGATAGAAAAGCGCTGACTCTGACAGTAGAAGTCTAGAAATGCCGCAGCCTTGCTGAAGGAGAGAAAATACTATGAGAATCAAGGAGGCCATACAATTGTAGAACGCCTTTATGGTTAGCTTGATTTTCATAGCTTTCTATTGTTCCGTGTCACCACTCTACTTTGAGGTTATGTTACAAATACCTATTTGCGTCAAATGGTTCATGCTTTTGATTTATATCATTTGTTACATCAGCCTGAAATTTCCTACAATTCAAAAAGAAAGCATACCCTCACGATAGAAAAGCGCTGACTCTGACCCCGGTCAGTAGAAATCTAGAAATACCCCAGCCTTTTGAAGGAGAGAAATGACTATGAGAATCAAGGCGGCTATAAAGGCGTCCTACAATTGTAGGAGCGACGACGATACGGCCATTACGGTCAATACATACTTGGAACCGTAGCCATGGTGACCATCTGGGCAGGTGCAATTTCCCAATTTGCATATACTTCCTGTCAGAAACGTGGAGCATTGCTCAGACTCTTCGCAAATGTCGTCGAAAACTGTAGCAGCTAAAAAAATATTGAGCGTGAATTAGAGCGGCAGAGAAGTTTTGTATGGGCTCCGTCATCGGTAAACGATTTCAATTGAAGAGAAATTTCGAAAAAACAAAAACACAACAAAAATATCTGATCCTCAAATTCGAGGATCATCTGAACCTTTGTGTCTGACAATTTTTGCTGTATTTCTAAGAATAAAGTAAAGTAACAAAAATGTTTGCGGCTTTTAACAAACTTGGGTTCGAGCAAATCGCATCTCGATATCTTATTCCTAACCTAACATTTAGGCCAAGGTCAATATATTTATCATGAGATGTGATGTTTATTGACCGTGTAGCCTGGACGTCAGTAATGGTTAGGACCACGGTAAATACTGATCGTCTGGTATTCGCTTTACCGTTTCCGAGATCCCAAAGGCTAGGTTCGTATTTGAAACACACGTAACATATACAGGGTGGCCCATCCATGTGTGGACGAAATATTACTCATAAACAAATACATTTTGGGAAAATCTATTTATGGTATGTTATACGTGACATTTCTGTCTGTTGTCAAAAAATAAAGGCCCGATAACTTGTTCGCCAATAACTGATCCCCAAACATTCAAGCTCTATTTATTTTGGAAATCTATTTGTCTGACCCAGTAACGGTTTTCCATCGCATACCTACATCTGATTCACCTCATTGGTGACACTTGGATTATTTATACATTTTTTACTATATTCCACTGCTTCACTTGATTCAAAACGTTCTCGTAGTGTGGAAAATGTTTCCGGCCTTGGATGTCGCTTCGCCCAAAACGAACACCATATTCACCACTTCTTCTTTAGAAAAACTCATTTTCAAACACGTTTTTATTATGATGCTCACAAATCTAATTTTGACAGTTTGAAACTGAACAACAATTTATTTGTTTCCTAGGATGATGCGATATTTTAGCCGTTCCATAAAAGACCCTAATAACCGAAAAAATAGCCGTAAAAACCCTTATGTGTATAGTATCAAAACAAAGCTTATAAAAATTGAATCCAAACTTGCATTTGAAATTTTTTAGAAAAACTACAATTTGCGTTTTTGACCACCCTGTATGAGCAAAAATTAAAATTCGAGAAAGCAACAAATAAGATAAAAGATGAGGTGTGCAAGCTTTTTTTTGATACAGAATTCAGCACTCCAACTTTCAAAATGGCGGACTGAGGGGTTGCCAAAGTGGGGGGTTTTTCTAGACAAAACACGTTATATCTCAGTAGCTACTTACCAAAACCACATAGTATGTTATATCAATTTTCTTCTTTTGAATCGGTTTATCCAAATGTGCCTTCAAATTTGAGGCATTCCATTTCAAAAATCACAACTTTGATATGTAGGTCGAAATTGGGAGAGCCTGTATAATGGCCAATATTTTTAAAAATATGCCCTCAAATGTCATGTATAACATCTCATAAATAGATTTTCCCAATATGCATTTGTTTATGAGTAATATTCCGTTCACACATGGATGGGCCACCCTGTATAGTGTAAGTTTATATCTAACATAGATTAATTTGATTTATTGATAAAAAATGTTCTCAGAGAAAAGGAAGGACAGCTGCCCCCCTTGCCCCCTCTGGATACGCCTTTGCTATAATACCTCCTGAAAGTAGGCAACCTACACTACTTGCCCTCTCACAAACGTTCGCTTGTAGCGAAGATGTGAATTCTGCATCTAGAATGTCAATTTTACCTTTAAGGCACCTCTTCTCGTCCCTGGACAAAGCGTACCCGACTGCGCACTTGCAAGTCACCCGGCAAACAGCGTTGTCCACGATTCCACACTGATCATCCGAGATGCAGGATTGACCTAAGTATCTACCCTCAACGCAACTCGTCAAATCTTGCGATGGAACTTCGGTGTCTTTCACACAGGCACATCTTCCGTCCACGCAGTGTCCGAAAGAACCGTTTTTCAGGTAACAGTTGCCGTCAGCGTGGCAGAAATCTTCCAATACTGAAAATAATATCTGGTTAAGCTTGTTTGTTCGTCGAGCCGACACTGTACAGCTGTTTTGTGCTTATTGGCAAACATCAGCATGATCTAGGCTGGACAACAAACATTGGACCATAGTCGAAATTACAAAATATGACAATTACGTCATTATTTTAGTCTGTAGTCTGTGAATACACCTATATTTAATGAAGTTTCTGATATGTTAGACAGAGACAAACAAAATGTTATTGTCTAAACAAACTGTATTGCTAATTTGCATGTATCCGATAAAGATAGACGATGTTTTCATGTTGCATGATCGATCATATTTGAAAGATGAATAGTTAGGTTAGGTATGTTAAAGCAGGTTATGTTGTTTTCGAATAATACTTTGGTCTTTGCTGTTCCTGTCTTAAGGTATTCTACTCATAACGGTTTTTCAAAACAAAAACTCCCTACTAAAATTACTATTAAGGTATCACTCAAAACCATGAATTAAAATCAAAATAAAAATAATCAGTGAAATAACCTAACTTCGCAAAATCATAATATAAATTTGTTGTCATTATATGTTTCTGACTGTGATTTTATCATAGACGTATGGTTTATCTGAAGTCACTTGAAATAGCATAAAAACCTTTGGTCGGCGCGTCCTTTGTAATTTCATGACGTATCATAGGCGTGCGGTTATTTATTTAGAACGATAATAATAATGTTTTTATATCACAATAAATGGATTTTACTATCTTCTTATTTTTTTGATTTGGGATAAAAAATACTTATATTGGGAGTTTAATTTATGTTGACTGAAAGTTAAGAAATGGAAAAATTACAGAATTCCAACGTTTGACATAGGCAAATATTTACATAGCAGGTAGGTATATAAAAAGGTATATAAAGACTTACATTATAGGTATTTATATATCATCCTCGCCTTCGGAGCTGTCGCTAGAGTCACCTTGTAGAGGAATTACAACGGGATTTACAGGAGGCAAAACCCAATATTCATTTTCTTTTTCAATAATACGCCTAGAACACTGCTTCCATAGGTCTGTGGCAGCAATATGAGATACTGCATCTCTTATTGTGGCCAATAGCGATTCACTTAATTGAGGGGTCTGATTATGTTTCTTACTTTTTTTTTTAAAGCAGCCCAGACCAACTCAATCGGGTTAAAAATGCAGTAATAGGGAGGTAGACGTAATACTTCATGGCCATTTTGCTGAAGCAGATTGTTAACAACATACTCTTTTTCAAATGTTTGTCTTTTAATAAGATCCAATAATATGGCTTTGGTTGATTTTTGTGGTATTTCCATTCCCTTATCCTTCATAAAATCAATAGTGTCTTGTTTTTTTGTGCCTGTATTCGGAATTTTGTTTTTCTGTCGGGAATGGTATGGCGCATTGTCCATAATAATCACTGAATTTGGGGAAATGTTTGGTATTAACTGCTGCTCTATCCACTTTTCAAATAAGTCGGAGGTCATGTCCTCATGATAGTCGGCACATGATTCTTTGATATTTTTGGCAGATAACAGCAAGGCATTAGGTATAAATCCATTTTCACTGCCAGCATGGAGAATAATGATTCGTTTTCCACGGTTGCATGGTGCATTTAAAATGCACTTGTTGCTATCGTCAACCCAGCCGTACTGCTCAACATCATGGGTATCATACCACGTTTCATCCAGGTAAATCAGATTTCTTTTCTGCTCTCTATAGATTTTAACTTTGTGCAAAAATTCTTGGCGCAATTCAACGATTCGAGACGACTCCATAATCACCATTCTTTTATCTAATTTTTTATATTGAAAACCACACTGTTTTACAATACAGTGCAGTGAGTCTAAGCATTTGTAATTATAAAAATCTTCAGCATAATCTTTTAATTTATCCCGTATCATTTCCAACGTGGGCACCAAATTTTCTTTATAAAATCCGTATATTATACGACGAATATCTTCTTGAAAACCCACGTCTACTCTTTTTAATTTTTGCCCTATGCGCTTTCTGTGGAAGGAATGGTTGACTACATCTCCCCTTTTTATAACCCGATAAATGGTAGACCGACTGATTTTTGTCAGGATACAAATTCTGTTTAAAATTTGATTTTGCGAGGAATCTGGATTTTCGTTTTTCAGACAATCATACATATTTAGGATTACTCTTTGGGTCTGTTCCTCTAAATCTTTATGAAAGAATTCTGCCTGCACAGGTTCATCAACCATCTCCTCGTGGCTTGGAGCATTTTCCCAAGGTCTCCAAAGAGCCATATTTAGGACACACAAGAACAATCAACACAACAATTAAATCAACAAGTAAACTGAGTATTCAAAAGTCAAAAACACACAAACTAATAAAATCTATGAAAAAACACGGACAGACTAAAGAAAACACGTTTATTCACCGCTACACGGCACTGGCTAAATTGTTTCAATTTTCAGTAGCCACCTGCACTTGTTCGGAGCTCTGAAATGCACGCTTTCTCATTGGCTATGTCCACGCATAGGCGTGCTTTACTCCACGTGGACCGGTGAAACTGCCTTTGATCTTATACGGGGAATATTTGCTGCGAAATTTGGCGATTTTTGCAGCAACAGAGCGTGTTAAATATAGATATATAAAACGCACCCGGTATTTCACAGTGTTTCAAGTGACTTCAGATAACGTATACGTCCATTGATTACTTCAGTACAATTTATGGTATGACGTAATAGTCATCTTTCGTGATTTTGACTATATAGAAGTTCACCTGAGCAGCTGTGTGTGTGCTGTTACTAAAATTTGAATCTGAAATTAGAGTGAATCTCTCAACCGCGTTAGAGAATGCAGGGAGACTCTCCACATAGTACTGTTTATGAAAATGCACATCTGGCTCCATAACCAAGGTCGCTCTGGGCGCTTTCAAGCCTTAAAGGAAGTTTGTAGGAATCCACCATTATACTTACAAAGTGATACGTAGCATTTTCCGTCAGTATAAAGATGTGCATTTTCCATGCACTGACATTTTCCTTCCTTACAAACGGCATATATCGACAAGTTTTTGTGGCACTGGATATCTATTTCACATGGCTCATTGTAACCAACATCTGTAGAAGGATAAAGTAACCGCATAGATCATTAGTTCATCACCCATTCATTACCTGCGATAACAGTGCAAGAACTATCTTCGCATCTGCTCGGAAAGATATTCTGATTAGGCTTTTTGCACAAGCTTAATAAACACGAAAAACGATCAAAATATTTTTCTGCAGAAGCGAAGATACTATAACTAGCCAGGTAGTCGACGGCCAGCATCCGCACGAGTATCACGTTACTTTAAAAGTGACATTATGCCTATTTTTTTTTGACATTATGCTGTTTTTTTACATTATGTAAGTTTTTCTACAAGATATTAACTTAACACTTAGGCCCGTATCGTCAGTCGTCCCTACAATTGTAGGGCGCGTTTATGGCCTCCTAGATTGTCATACTATTTTCTCTCCTTCAAAAATGTCTAGATTACACTCGTCCCGTGTCAGCGTCAGCGCTCTCCTATTGTGAAGATATGTTTTCCTTTTAAATTGTAGGAAATTTCAGGCTGATAAAACATGATATAACTCAAAAGCAAGCACAATTTGATGCAAATAGATGTTTGTGACATAACCTCAAAATAGAGCGTTGACAAGTATAAAACTATGACAATCAAGGAGGCCATAAACGCGCCCTACAATTGTAGGGACGACTGACGATACGGGCCTTAGTTGTATGTGTTGCCTAAACATCATGAGGCTTGTTATCAATCTTTGGCTCTGATGTGATGTAAAATTTGCTTCTGAGATGGCATTACTGGAGGTCTAAGCTGTGAGTTGTATGTGTTGATGATAATTACATTAATTTCTTGTCTCAAATACACTTAATTGAGATTCAAAGCCAGTTGCGCATTCACTTTTTCTTATCCATTCTGGAAATTACATATACAAACTTGCTGAATTTCAAAAATGAGAGAGATAAGAAATAATTATCTTCACTGTACACTGTCGAATTACAAGCCATATACATGCTAACAGTAGTTACACACAACGCGGACGCAGTAATGATTTTCTCACACAGCAAATATCATACACAATACATATAATCATACTCTTCTCAGAGATAAAAACTACAGACACGGATCACTCAGTCTCACATAACTATGCAACCAATAATGCGTGTTGAGTGATTCATTGATAGATGGACGTTCACAACGATCCTAGTGAGCAAACGTTGAATGACTGTTTGCGCCCTAAAAGCCACCTAGTCTGCAATTTGACATCTTATAGGTTTTTTTTGACGTTTTGTAGGTTTTTTACATGATACCCATGAGGTATGATGATTGTTGAGTGACACTTTCAAATCGCCTGCACAATCGCGTCGTACTCGTAAACTGCAAACTCTCATTTCATCGCCTAAAAATTTATATAGTATAGAGAGAACAGAAATGCAACAAGAAGAATCTGATACGGACAGTGACTAAGTTTAAGTAACTCAAAAACCGCAATTTTTTACGCAAAACAGAAATGGCCTTTAGTCATATGCTTTTGATTTTTTAGTTTCCTGTGATATTTCTTTAAGACTGCGTGATAAATGTTCTGTTGTTTGACAGTTATTGGTAATATTGTATTGGTTTTTATAGTCAAATGTTTTTTTTATTTCAGTTTTATGTTATATTTTATCACGCTGACGATAAACACCGGGGTAATGGAAAGTAGCGGAGATTTTCGATACCAGTAGCGGGATTTACAATGTTCGCTCTGGCAACACTGATTGATTCCGTGTAAAACAAGGCCTATTCACCGCTGACCGCAACGGTAACTAAGGGATGATGGCTGATTAATAACACTGGACAACAAATTTTAGTTTTTTAATTGTATCTTGTGGGAAAAGTGCACTTCTTTGTTCATTTTGGGGCGCTGAATCCAAAAATGACAATGAAATAAAAAAATTAGTTGCGGTTTAGAAAAAAAACTTTTTATTTTTAAGGATATATTAAAAAAACCAACAAGATTCATATACTTATAAGAATCACTATATGCGCTGTCTTTTTGCTGTTCTTTTATGGATCGTTTCTGGAGCATCTCTACCAAGAGTCCAACAGTAGTCTGCAAGCATGGAAGGATTCCACTTTCCCTGGTACCTTTTTTCTATTGTTGAAATATCCTGATGAAAACGTTCGCCGTGCTCATCACTTACGGCTCCGCAATTGTCAGGAAAAAAGTCCAGGTGTGAGTGTAGGAAATGTATCTTAAGAGACATATTACAGCCCATCTTTTGATACGATGACAGCATATTTTTGACAAGGGTTTTATAGTTGTCAGCTTTTCTATTTCCCAAGAAATTAGTGACCACCAGACGGAAATCATTCCAAGCAGTTTTTTCAATACCTGTTAAAGTGTTTTCAAACTGTGTATCTTTCAAAATATTTCGAATCTGTGGCCCAACAAAAATACCTTCTTTAACCTTTGCCTCACTTAGTCTTGGAAATTTCTGACGCAGGTATTGAAAAGCTGACCCATCTCTATCTAATGCCTTGACAAAGTTTTTCATTAGGCCCAACTTGATATGCAGTGGTGGTAATAATTTTTTTTTCGAATCTACTAATGGCATATGCTGTACATTTTTTTTACCTGGCTCTAGGAATTGACGAACAGGCCAGTTTTGTCTGGTGTAATGAAGTGCCTTTGCCTGACTGTCCCATTCACACAAAAAAACAGCAAAACTTTGTGTAGCCTAGCTGCAGCCCAAGTAAAAGTGCAACAACTTTCAAATCGCCACAAATATGCCATTGGTGCTCATCGTATTTTATGCATGTCAATAGGTACTTTATATTGTCATATGATTCTTTCATGTGCACTGCATACCCTACAGGAAGAGATGGTAAAATATTTCCAATATGCAATAACACTGCCTTTAAACTCAATGTTGAACTGTCTATAAACAATCTCCATTCTTCTGGGTTATAGTTTATATTTAAAGCCGCCAGTAAGCCGTTAATGTTACTGCAGAAAACCAAGTTATTCTCCATATTGAAAAATGGTTCTAAGTCTTTGTGGCGTTTACGAAAAACACATACCGAAACATCGTCTTCTAACAAGTTCCACTGCTGCAGTCTTGATCCAAGTAAATCTGCCTTACATTTTGGAAGTTCTAAATCTCTTACAAGATCATTTAATTCTGACTGTGTTTTGTGTTATTTTGTGCGGTTGATGGCATATCTTCTTCCTGACGAATCACTCGATCGCCATGATCTGATTCGTTTTCTGATTCGCAAGTGTAGGATTCTGGGGGTTTTGGAATAGGATTTTCGTCACTGTGAGGCACAGGTCTCATCGCAGATGGTATGTTTGGGTAGTTGATAACCGATTTTTTTTTCTTGGACATTCCTGTGGCTTGTCCAACACAAGGTACCATGCAAAAGTAACAATCATTAATATGATTTGTAGGCTCTCTCCAAACCATTGGGACAGCAAAGCGCATAGACCGTTTTTTGCCATTTAACCAGCTCCTCAGACTTGAAGCACATGTATTACAGCAGATGTGGGGTGCCCACTGTTTGTCTTGATCACCTAGTTTACAACCGAAATAAAGCTGATGGCCTTTGTTATTAGTGGAGTAATAGAGTCTGAGACGCAAAAGTCACATCACCACACACGTAACAAAACTGATCTGGATTGTTTACACACTTTCGAGACATCTTGCATGAACGCTGTCAGCCAACTGAGGAAAAAATGGCTAATATTAAACAATATAATGTACACGTATGTATAACGTAACACAATCATGCCGATTACATCATCTTTCCTTGCCGAATATAAAAATGTAGCACGTGCATTCTTGTGAATTACAGTATATTAACACTGTCACAGCAGGAACACATATAATTACCGTATCTCTAAAACTTGAACTAATATTGAAAAAATAACTTTCATTCCGGTTTTAGCACATTAAAAATAGTAATATTTTGTTGATTTTATTTAGGATATTTTTTGGCTGTTGATCAGTGTAATCATTTAATCAAAGGCGTTGTGATTGTGAACTCGGAAGTTAAAAAAGTGGGTGCTGCTTGTCCATCCAACATTTATCTATGATTCAAGAGTGTACCAGTGTCAGAAACGCGATATCACAAAAATGTGATGTGTAATTTTACGCTTCCACTGGTAACTTGGACAAAATAAAAGTACATTTGCTAAACATTCTATCAGACGGAAAAGTTCATCTTCCCAACATTTACTCTCACAGCTTGGCATAGATTCGAATTTTAGCAAGATTGAATAACACAATGAAATAACGTTCAAAATGTAATACTTACATTTGAGACAAGAAAAGTGAGTTGCGTTCCTTGTCAACAGTTCGAAATCTTCCGCGCATTTGCAGTTTCCCAGTTGCCCCGCGTCGTTGCCATAACAAAATGAGTTGTTGCTGATCTTGACACAATCAGCATCGTTTCTGCACCTCGAATAAGCAACTGCAATATACGAGAATTAAGTGGACTCAGTACTTACCTAGTGGACGTACGTTTCTGTTTTTTAAATCGAATACCAGACTCCTGACGAATGATTAAGCATAGTTTTGCAAACTGACAAGGAAACCGTCTCAGGAATCGACTTCGGTTTTGATGGGCTTTCGATATGCTATTTTACGTCAAAATCTAAGAGACATGTTAGGGATGAAATCATCAGACAAAGTTTTTGATTGATTGTATATCAATATCAATGTTTGTCTCAATATGAGTATATTAAAGCAAGATTACAGGCAGACACCTGACACAGTTTCCTTGTGAGCAATAGTTTATCATAGATTATTCGATGATAAGATATATTTCAGAGATGAGTCAATACAAATCGGTTGTCACCCAAATTAGTTCTTAATTACTTAGTATGGTTTCGAGAAATTAGTTAGAAAAGCATGAATATGATGTAGATAGCAATTAGCGAACGAATCTGGATCTTGGTTCAAGAAACTTGCGAGCAGCATGTCCAGATAAGATAGCATTGACCTCAAAGTGTACATCTAAGTAATTAAAATACTTACCGATTTGTTCCAACTGCTGCGCGCCACAGCAGCACGCCACGCAGACCACCAAAAACACGAAAAAGTTCATGTTGAAAAAAATAGAATTGATTTTTCAGTGCGTCGAATCTATACTATCCTAATTGTTGTATGTAGGTACACCTTCCAGTTAGATAAAAAATTATCACCATATAACAGATAAGATAACCGATATATGCCAAGTCTATGTATCATATACCAACAGTCATATTTTCGTGAAAACGCCTAATGGTGTTAAGTCAACTTTGTTATAGAGGTTTAATCGCAGAAAGCACACAAAGTGAATCACATATCAAAGGGTATGATTGATGACTTGCGCAGCAACAATTTGATACCGTCACGAGGCGATAAACGCAATTTAACGTTTTCGTTCTTTGGCCTACCCGAGACGATGCTGACGAGTGGCCAGAAAGCGCGAGACAGCTGTTCGTGGTTGGCCGTTTGTGGTCGGACAGATGGAGGCTATATTACTAGCATCTTAACGTATTAATAATAACACTGATCAACAGCCAAAAAATATCCTAAATAAAATCAACAAAATATTACTATTTTTAATGTGCTAAAACCGGAATGAAACTTATTTTTTCAATATTAGTTCAAGTTTTAGAGATACGGTAATTATATGTGTTCCTGCTGTGACAGTGTTAATATACTGTAATTCACAAGAATGCACGTGCTACATTTTTATATTCGGCAAGGAAAGATGATGTAATCGGCATGATTGTGTTACGTTATACATACGTGTACATTATATTGTTTTATATTAGCCATTTTTTCCTCAGTTGGCTGACAGCGTTCATGCAAGATGTCTCGAAAGTGTGTAAACAATCCAGATCAGTTTTGTTACGTGTGTGGTGATGTGACTTTTGCGTCTAAGAGACGGTCCATTACTCCGCTAATAACAAAGGCATATCAGCTTTATTTCGGTTGTAAACTAGGTGATCAAGACAAACAGTGGGCACCCCACATCTGCTGTAATACATGTGCTTCAAGTCTGAGGAGCTGGTTAAATGGCAAAAAACGGTCTATGTACTTTGCTGTCCCAATGGTTTGGAGAGAGCCTACAAATCATATTAATGATTGTTACTTTTGCATGGTACCATGTGTTGGACAAGCCACAGGTATGTCCAAGAAAAAAAAATCGGTTATTAACTACCCAAACATACCATCTGCGATGAGACCTGTGCCTCACAGTGACGAAAATCCTATTCCAAAACCCCCAGAATCCTACACTTGCGAATCAGAAAACGAATCAGATCATGACGATCGAGTGATTCGTCAGGAAGAAGATATGCCATCAACGTCAAGAGATCCTGATTTTATACCGAGCACGTCATGCCACCAACCGCACAAAATAACACAGTCAGAATTAAAGGATCTTGTAAGAGATTTAGAACTTCCAAAATGTAAGGCAGAGTTACTTGGATCAAGACTGCGGCAGTGGAACTTGTTAGAAGACGATGTTTCGGTATGTGTTTTTCGTAAACGCCACAAAGACTTAGAACCATTTTTCAATATGGAGAATAACTTGGTTTTCTGCAGTAACATTAACGGCTTACTGGCGGCTTTAAATATAACCTATAACCCAGAAGAATGGAGATTGTTTATAGACAGTTCAACATTGAGTTTAAAGGCAGTGTTATTGCATATTGGAAATATTTTACCATCTCTTCCTGTAGGGTAAGCAGTTCACATGAAAGAATCATATGACAATATGAAGTACCTATTGACATGCATAAAATACGATGAGCACCAATGGCATATTTGTGGCGATTTGAAAGTTGTTGCACTTTTACTTGGGCTGCAGCTAGGCTACACAAAGTTTTGCTGTTTTTTGTGTGAATGGGACAGTCGGGCAATGGCACTTCATTACACCAGACAAAACTGGCCTGTTCGTTAATTCCTAGAGCCAGGTCAAAAAAATGTACAGCATATGCCATTAGTAGATTCGAAAAAAATTTATTACCACCACTGCATATCAAGTTAGGCCTAATGAAAAACTTTGTCAAGGCATTAGATAGAGATGGGTCAGCTTTTCAATACCTGCGTCAGAAATTTCCAAGACTAAGTGAGGCAAAGGTTAAAGAAGGTATTTTTGTTGGGCCACAGATTCGAAATATTTTGAAAGATACACAGTTTGAAAACCCTTTAACAGGTATTGAAAAAACTTCCTGGAATGATTTCCGTCTGGTGGTCACTAATTTCTTGGGAAATAGAAAAGCTGGCGACTATAAAACCCTTGTCAAAAATATGCTGTCATCGTATCAAAAGATGGGCTGTAATATGTCTCTTAAGATACATTTCCTACACTCACACCTGGATTTTTTTCCTGACAATTGCGGAGCCGTAAGTGATGAGCACGGCGAACGTTTTCATCAGGATATTTCAACAATGGAAAAAAGGTACCAGGGACAGTGGAATCCTTCCATGCTTGCAGACTACTGTTGGACTCTTGCTAGAGATGCTCCAGAAACGATCCATAAAAGAACAGCAAAAAGACAGCGCATATAGTGATTCTTATAAGTATATGAATCTTGTTACTTTTTTTAATATATCCTTAAAAATAAAAAGTTTTTTTTTCTAAACCGCAACTAATTTTTTTATTTCATTGTCATTTTTGGATTCAGCGCCCCAAAATTAACAAAGAAGTGCACTTTTCCCACAAGATACAATTAAAAAACTAAAATTTGTTGTCCAGTGAAAGCACTCCTGCGATATACAGGGTGACTTCGAAGTTGAGTCATTTATTTTGACAGTGAATAGATCTGATCAAAAGAAATGTTTTTTTCCTTTACCATTTTTCTGGTAAAATTAAAGTAACAAAGTTATAGCCCTTTGGAAGTTTGAGTACCGCCCTGTCTCAATATCATGTGCTCGTGTTTGGCAACAACGGATATAATCCGCCTTACCGGTTCATCGCATCGGAAACAAAAAAGCGAAAGAATTTGGAACGATGTTTGTGTACAGTTTATTATTTTATTCAGTTCAGTTATACATACAGTCAGTATCAGTGTCGCGTGTGAATAGTGTCTGTTGCGTGGCTCAAACGAAATAAAAAATGGCACATGTTTATGCGGATCGGTTTCCCAATCGAGTGCAACCAACCCCTCGTGCCTTTGTTAATGTAGTACAACGGGCTCGTGACTTAAGACCTCACAGGGGACCTCACGATCAAATACAGGTCCGCACTGAAATACTTGTCGGGAGGATACTTTATAAAACAAGGTAAAAAATTTTTTTTATTTTTTTTTTATTTTTACACACATATTTTGGTTTATCTTCCTTCTACAATCATTATCTGAAAATTAATGACTCAACTTCAAAGTCACCCTGTAGATGTAACACCTCTGCTCCAGCGGATATTAGATTTTGTAGTCGTTTTGAGGATACCGAATCTAAAAATGGATGGTAAACAATATCGCAATTTGCAATTTTTGAAACGATCAATGATTCGTATAGAATTTTTTTAATTTTGCAGTCAAAAATTTATGTGAAGAATAAAAAGGAGTGGCCCAAGCACTGTTCCTTGGGGTACTTCCGTGGACACGAAATTTTCTGGTGATGAGTTTGTATTAATAGCAGCTTTTTGAGATCTGTTTCTGATAAAGTTACTAAACGTACTAATTAAAGAGTCAGAAAAAACATAATACTTAATTTAGCTAACCAAATTGAATGATTTATAGTGTCAAATGTTTTGGTACAATCTAGGAGGATTGAAGATGTTAGATTTTGACCCCAAGCCTTGCAGGAAAATGGAGCAATATTCAAGCTTTATGACGCTCTATCAATTATTGGATACAATTGAATAATTGGTATTTGAATTTTTAGAAAATAGATCATATACTCTCGTGTCTGTCATCTTTTCCAAGTGTTCAAAATCCTTGACTATTCAAATCTCACTTACCTCGCGTCAGAACAATAAGTATTAAATCTACCGTCATGGGCGCCCGCTGAATTTCTTCTCAGGGGGGCGATTATCGACACGAAATAACTGTTTGTTACAGTGTACCTGTCCCCAAAACTTTTTGAAGAGTCGGAGGTAGTGAAATTTAACTTAATTTAATGTTCCCCCTGGGTACCTGGGTGTCCTCTTCTTTTGACTTGTCGCGGCGTGCCCAGGCATTTACGGTATACTCTGACCAATATGAGCGCGCGAATTTGAATATTTGTTTAATGGGTCGTAAGTCATTGTCAAATTGCAGAAATTATTTTGTTTTTACAGAAATATCCTTAGTGGAAAAGCTTTTGGCAAGATTGTGGGTTCGATTCCATTCCAAGTATTGAATCTTTTGATGAGATCCTCTTATATTCAGTACTGATCCGAAATATTTCATAAAGGAAGTTTCTTGAAAAAAAAGCTGTGTTTGTAAAAATTGTATATTATCTATTTACAGATAATTCAACAGAAGCTAGAGTTTACAAATAAATAAACATATTAGAATAAACAACAAAACAACGTATCACAGGAAAATAAACAACACACTAAGGACCACACATAAAATAATGGAAGATGCTTCTTTTCCAGATGAATCTGAAATAAAAAATAACAGGCAATGATAACAAGTAACAGTTCGGTAAAATGAGGCATATTCCAAAATAAAGGTCTTGGTTCGAAGTTTGGAAGTATGTATATTTTGTGTAGATGAAATTCAAAAGTAAAATTTCTGCTAAAATCATATTTCCAACGTTAGCAGAAGCTACTATACTACAACTATTTAAAACTGTAATGACTCATGCGCGTGATCAACACGTGATCAGAGCTCGATCCCGGCTTCCTTCCAGTACAGCCGTATAGCGTACGACATATGTCGTTTCTGTGGCTTTGCGGTGGTGAACAGCACAGACAGAGATGGAAATAATGGCTGATTGTTCTCCGCCGGTAGAACCAATGAAATCAAAGACGCGCCTCGACCGGCAGACTCATAGGCGTCGGCAACGCATTGGAACGTGTTTCGTTGAGCGATCGCATATTGTGTGTTTTTATAAGAATTGTTGTGTGATTGTTATTGTTGTGGTTTCTGTGGTTACTGTTTTGGTTATACTTAACCATGGAGAGTACAAATGGCAGGAGTGGAAGTACTGAAAGCCAGGGAACAAGTAGACGGCTTCGTAAAGCTCTGAAGAGGGACGCGAAAGAAATCGTGCTCAACGTGTTGTGAAAGTATGACAGGCGTTCCAGAGTGGACCATTCGCAGGGTGGTGCATGAAAAGAAGAAAACTGGAGCTACTTCTGATCCAAAGTTTAATTTGAAGGGACGAAAGGCCGTTAAATTGGATGACGATAGCAAAATGGCGTTAAGGCGAACCGTACATTCATTCTTCTTTAGGAATGAGATACCAACCCTCAAGGCTGTACATGCAGCGATCAAGGAAAATGAAATTATACCACAAACGAGCGTCGAGGTAATGAGGAAATCCTTGCCCGAAATTAATTTTCGTTACGAAACGCATAATCGGAAGTCAGTATTGATAGAGAGACCTGAAATAGTCGCCTGGCGTCGAAAATACCTACGCGAAATGATTGAATATAGGCGACAAAGCAGAAAAATCTATTATTTGGACGAGACATGGGTAAATGCAGGTCACACAGTTAAAAAAACCTGGATAGACAAAAACGTAGTGAGTAACCGACAAGCAAGCAATTGTCAACAGGTCTTCGTGGACCGTCAGGGAAAGGTCAAAGATTGATCGTAACTCATATTGGTAGCGATAGTGGCTTTTTAGAAGAGTGTGACTTGATTTTCGTCTCTAAGAAAGGAGGTGATTACCAAGACGAAATGAATGCCAGCATTGCCAGCTGCTTCGAGAGCTGGTTTCAAGGGGTGCTTCAGCGAGTTGAGCCCAACTCTGTGATCGTCATGGATAATGCTTCCTACCATAGTCGTCGAGCCGAACGTGTACCGACTATGGGATCTCGAAAAAGTGACATGCAGCAATGGTTGCGCGAAAAAGGAATCCCGTTTGACGATTCATGTGTGAAAGCGGAATTGTATGAAAAAATTAAACAGCACAAAACTGCGAACATTAGTTACGTGACTGATAGGATGGCCCGCCAATGTGGTGTCACTGTGCTGCGGTTACCGCCCTACCGCTGTGAACTGAACCCAATAGAGCTCATCTGGGCTCAAGTGAAGGGTTATATTGTGCGTCATAACACAACCTTCAAATTACCAGACGTTAAGGTTTTACTTGAGACTTCCATACAGCTAGTAACGCCCGAAGCTTGGCAGAATGCTATCCGTCATGTTGTGAAGGAAGAAACAAAAACGTGGCAGCCTGACCACCACATCGACACCATCATAGAGCCAGTTATAGTCAATTTCAACGAGGAAAGCGATAGCGACAGTTTATTACTGTCAGATGTAAGTGGAAGCGACGATGAATAAAGGTAATTCCCAAATTTTTGACTTACAATATGTTTCAAACCACTCTTTATTAAGCATGTGACAAATCTAGTTCACCCATGTTAAACATTCATACCCCGCCTATGAACAGCCGACTACTGGTAGTTAAGTGATGTTCACGTGAACATCGATGAGTCATTACAGTTTTAGATAGTTATAGTATAGGTACAAGCTTCCCATAAAGTCATGGACCAATGGCAATGGTTCTAGATGCAGATTTATCAATCAGATTCAAGTATTGAAAAAAGACTTACTTATGCAAAATCCATCCACCTCAACATAAGACGGCTGGCATTTACAAACTCCCAGAATGCATTCTAGACGAGTGGTATTCCCTTCAAATGGTTCGTGGCAGTCGCTGACCTCCGCACAAGTATCGCCTAGAACTAAGAAAAAGTTGTTACGGCCATGTATAACAGAGAAATTAAACGGATCAAGTCCGTCAAACAGGACCGTACAATAAGTCTATGACAGTAGTACCGTGGTTCTGGCAACATCGCATCGCCTCTCGGCTATATCTGAAAGCATGATGCGTCACACGCGGCAGACCGCCCACAGAAAATCCCTGGTTGGTGCATATCGCAACTAACTGGTGAGAAAATAAGCTGCAGACAGGAATATTTATGAAGCCTGAAAAGGTTATTACGTTTTACATTCTTTTTTATTTCCAGTTACGTTTTAGAAATTTATTTTGCGATTTTGTGAAAATGTTTTGCATGTGATGCGATATTCCTAATTTTTTTGTGACATGAGCAAAAAAAAAACCGGGGAAAACTTCGAACCCAACTTCTCTTCAGAAAGGAGTCAGAAATAATTTTCTCACATAGCAAATATCACCGATTTTATACTCATGCAAATCAGTAGACTCAATCATTCAACTGCGATCTTGCTACTGTGCTACTCAACCAATTTTTTTCTATCCCATCTTCTCAGAGCTGTACTCCACAGACTCTCTTGGCATTCTGCAACCAACAAAGCATTCTGGCGACGTGACTTGCAGCATAGTCGTTGAGTCATAGCGAGCAAGAGAGGACTGAACTGTTTACACACTAAGAGCTATCTAGTCAGCAAGTTGACATGTTGTCGGTTTTTTTTAAATTATTATTATTATTATTATGATAATTGAGATGAGCAAAGTACACAGTACTATGAGCTCATGCAGTAAATATACACACGAATACATCAAATAGAAAAAAAAAAAATAAAAAAAAGACAGTTCATAGCTATAAAGTTTGTACACTCCTCCAGCTATCATACTGCACTTTGAAGCTATTAACTGAAGTAGCACCAACCACACTTTCAGGTAAACTATTCCAGGTGTTGAATATGCGGTTGGGAAGAAACCACTGTCGGACTGTTGTTTTAAATGGCTCCTTATGCAGTTTGAAGCTGTGTCCGCATAGATTGCTGCGCGACAGACGGTATAGATGCATGAGGTTGGTGCCCATCAAACCATGAAGTATCCTGAACGTAACTAGAAGATCGCCACGAAGTCTTCGCTCAGAGAATGAGGTCAGGTTGAATAATTCAAGACGATCTTCATAGCTTGGTCTTCGTGCTCCAAAAGGGATACGAGTAGCCCGACGCTGTACTGATTCGACGAGATTTCTATCGCGCAGAAGCACAGTGTCCCATACCGGGCCAGCGAATTCAAGAATTGGCCTTACGAATGACTTGTAAATGTAGGCGCAAGTGTTGACATCGGATCCTTTGAAAGACCTCTCCAGCATGTATAGAGGTTTCTTGGCTGTTAATGTAACGTGGTGAATATGCTCTGACCAGGAAAGACGATCGTTGACTACAACGCCCAGATCAGTGTGGCTGGAAACTACTTCGATGTTGTGGTCAGAGATCTTGTATGTAAATCGCGGATTTGTCTTCCCGAGGTGAAGGACACAACACTTAGTTAGATTTAAGGGTAAAAGCCAGTCAGTTGGCAAACAAACAATATCAAGATCTCGTTGAAGCATAGCAGAATTTACGACAGTATTGTAAATCTTGGTGTCGTCGGCATAAGCTGAACATGTGGAGGAAATCAATGCGGGCAGGTCACTTGTATACAGAAGGAACAGCACTGGCCCCAAGACAGAGCCTTGAGGAACTCCACTTGCTACATGATGAAGGTGTGACTGGCTATCACTGACGCGCACAGAGTAAGTCCTCCCGGTGAGAAAAGCCTTAATCCACAGTAACAACTCGCCTCTTATTCCCATACATTCCAACTTAAACAGAAGCCTTCTATGTGGTACGCGATCGAAAGCCCTAGAAAAATCTAAGTAGATTATATCAACAGGAGTCTTTGTGTCCAGATACTGAGTCCAATCGTTGAGAGAGTGGAGAAGGTTGGTCATTATTGATCGACCAGGGAGAAATCCATGCTGATTCTTAGGGATAAGGTCATTTTCGAAAGCAAATGACACGAGCTTATCTAATATGATTCTTTCAGCTATTTTGGCGGCGATAGGAACGAGACTTATTGGTCGATAATTTTTAGCGGAGGATTTGTCGCCCTTTTTGAATACAGGGGTAACAGAAGCACTAAGCCAGCATGAGATCTAAAAGACGATGTGAATATCAAGCTTAATGGTAGGGCCAGTGCTGAAGCGCAGTTTTTAAGTACAGCAGCCGTCATCCCATCTTTACCAGTGGAGGAAGAGGTCTTCAGATTTCGCAGGTGCATTAATACATCTTCAGGCAGGAACTGAACTTCGCAAAAGCTGTTGGGACACCTATGGCAGATAGTGGTCGGTAGAAGGTCTCCATTAGGCTCATCGACGAAGTCATCACTGAAGGACTCTGCCAGTAAGTTGGCAGATTCGGTGGCATCCATGTGGAGATGACCGTCAGCGTCGCGGATCTGAGGTGATGAAACTTTGGAATTCAGGTTTGTTCTTAGATACCGCTTCTTCTTATTTTTGGAGGTAACGAGTTTTCATAATAACCCTGCGGGATTTCCCAAATATCGAAAGACACCGTTTACATCTAAAGAATATCAAGTCCACTTACGCATATCTCTAACACACTTTCCAATGCTGGCCTTCAGCTGGTACATCTCCTTGCACGTGCAAGTCCCTTGGTGACATTCAGACGCTCCGCCCAAGGTCACCGTACACTGGACGTCGTCCTCACAGGATGCGCCGTGTCCTAGGGCGACGGGCAAGCACTTTGTCGCGTTGCGGTTCGGAGCGTGGCTATCCAGGCAAGAGCATTTGCCGCGGAGGCAGAACGCAGCATGCGTCAGGGAGCATTCAAGCTCTGTGGTGCAGGCTTGAGACAAGGCTGGAATCACAAAAACGAGATGAAATCGACACCATGATTCTTCACGGTTTTTCCAAGGTGATATTCAAATTTAGCGCCCCAAATTATCTGGGTCTATATAGCATAAGACATTTTATTGTTAGCATTTTAAGGTCTCAAATGTCGCATAGTTTCGTAATGATTTACTAAATAATAAACGGGATCGGAAACTTGTGAAATGACTTCCGATGCTCCCTTTCAGGAGTAAAAATATCGATATTCTTACGATATGAAACTTCTTGGAAAATACCGATTGAAAACTTCAAATCATTGTTCCTGGCGACTCTGCAATATTTTGGTTGATCACATCTGAAAAAAAAAAACAGCAGATTTATGCACATTTGGCGCTGGTTTAGCGAGGATTGCAACTACTGACAGACATGCATGTGGTGTCATAGGTGCGAGGCGAAGCGTTGAAATGCCTGTGCAGTGTAAACATGTAAAAATAATTGCCAGATGTGCGCTACCCCTATGATCATTTTTATCTTTGACAGGCGCCACCAGTGCCATATGCTTAAGTTTTTACTAAACGAATTTGTAACCTGGGAAAAGATAGAGTAAAGTAGGTTGACTGGGTAATCTTTTATGTATATATATGTATGTCTGCAAGGTTGGGGTTTTCCTTTACACGACGTGTAGATCTTGAAAACATAAGCAATTTTTCTTAGTACACATATACACCAATGTCTTAAGGGAACCGAGATAAAGGGCTCTGCAACATCAAAAATATCTGAATACCGTCCTGTAGACGCGACATCACCGACTGGTACAAGTTCGCTGGCTCAACCCGATGACAGAACTGGGTCGGGGTCAGTGTGTCAGGTTAGTATGCAACCTTCAACCGACGGTTACGGTCACGCGAGTAGAGGTAATCGCGTAGACGAGAATCCCCCAACAAGCACTAGAGACGTGGTTAGAGAAGTGCAAGTATCAAAAACTAAAGTGTGGCAAACGCTGCGTGAAGAGGGGCTGACAATTTTCCAGCAAGAGTGCGGTTTTGTGAGTGGTTGTTGCATCAACATGACAATAATCCGGACGTTTTGAAGTGCATATTGGTGACAGACGAATCTACGTTCACGCGTAATGGGGTGAATAACTTTCGCAATGTTTGGTCAGTAGAAAATCCGCACGCTGTCCGTCGGGCACATTTTCAACAAACATTTTCGGTGAATGTTTGGGCTGGCATGGTGAACGGTATGCTCATTGGACCATTTATTCTCCCAAATCGATTGGACGGGATGCAATACCTAGACTTTTTACGCAACATTTTGCCTTCCTTGTTAGAAGATGTGCCATTAAGTGTAAGACAATCAATGTGGTTTCTGCGTCTGCTCGGTAGCGCATCAGCTGATTTAATTTTCTGTTGGAGCGGTATGATTTCGGGCAGAGACGTACTTAGCCCTTCTCGTCAACTGGAGAGTGAGTACTTTTTCCTTTATTTTTTTTTTACTTGGTCGCCCTCGTTTCACTACACATTACCTTTGTTATTTCAAGGGTAGTTGTTTGTGAAAAGGAAAACCCCTTTATTTAATTTATTTAAGAAAAGAATATAACGAAAGATAACCTTTTCGCCCTGTGCTTAGTAGTCTGAGTCAGTGTCAGTGTAAAACCTTGTCACGTATGAAATGTTTTCTGCCAACGTGCATATTTTCTAGTTTCACTAGAAACCTGTAGTTGTATTCATCCGTGAAGAACTTTAACGTGGTATCAGCCTCGTTCACTACCAACATGATACATGCATTTTTTTGTAGCAGACCTGAGCCCGGTTGGTCTAGCGTGAAAACAGCGAAACTATCGCTAAAATCTTTTGATCTAATCCCCTTCGCCAAGACACACAAAACAAAGTTACGCTTTACGAATTACCCTGTACGACAAAAATGATAATTGCTGTACAGCAAAAAGATTAAGTACAGGACGTGGTATAAGGACAACAGACCAGATTGGGATTCCTGTTGCGAAATTGGCGCATTTGTATTCGAAGATGCAGTACAGATACTTTGACCTATTTGGTCACTGAGAGCAGCACGTATCGCGGAGTAATCCCGAAACGAAAAGATAAATGCTTTCCGGATTCCATATTTTCCATTGCTCAAACATGATTGTTGTGAAAATTGTGCACTCCATTTCGTGTACCCAAAATTAGTTTCGTAAAATCTTCATTTTCTATTATGATCTTCAGGTTGTAACGCTTGTACTCGCTGATAATGCTAATGATAATACTGTTCTTATCGTATTGTCTTCCATACTTTACTATGAGAGACTTCAAATTGAGCTGCTATGGCTCTAGTACTTATTGTCGGTTCGTATTCGACCTTTTCTAAAATGTCTTCCTCAGTTTGTAACATTTCACGTTGCACAAGTCTTCTAGCTCCTCGATGTTCTTTTAAATATCCCGTGTTACGAAGTCTAATAACCAAATTTACAAACATCCGAGGGGCCGGATGATTTCTTAAAGGAAACCTTTCCGCATGTTGTTGGCACTTTCCGTAACTTAGTATTATGTCCACTAGTTCTTTGTTTTCATGAACATGGGCCGGTTTTTTGTGCACAATAATCAGGGAAATTAAAGTATTATTAAGAGACTGATACAACTGATCGAACCAAAGACTCGCACTGAAAACAATACAATAACACAAAATTTAGATAAACGATAGAGGTTGCGAATATTAAAAAATCTGTGTAATAACATTTTTTTCTTTCATTTTTAATTTATCTTTTAATATTTGTTTTATTATGTAAGTTTTATATACGCGATTTTTGGTATATCAACTCCTTTTGATGATTCCTACAAGCAGTTAAAATAAATGACTTAACTTTGTATAATAATAATAATTATAATAATAGGTCTTTATTAAGGAATGCATTATAACAAATGATGCTCCCTAAGACTACAAAACTAGAAAAAACGATTCTACTCAATCTTCCTGAAGAAGGGAATACGTTCAGTTGGATAATCAACAGAAACTAAAAATGGAGACTGTTTGCAACAACCGGCCACGTAATTCTATGTTACAACAGTTCGGGCATGCGCAGAGAAAAATCGGAATTAATTCTAAGCTAGTTCGGAACTCCTTGCTAGAACAAACCTTATGTTTCTTGCTTATACGGTGGTGTAGTTTGAGCGTTTTATCTTTCACTTTGTGGTTTATACTTATCTGAAGTCACTTGAAACACTGTGAAATACCGGGTGCGTTTTATATATCTATATTTAACACGCTCTGTTGCTGCAAAAATCGCCAAATTTCGCAGCAAATGTATAAGATCAAAGGCAGTTTCACCGGTCCACGTGGAGTAAAGCACGCCTATGCGTGGACATAGCCAATGAGAAAGCGTGTATTTCAGAGCTCCGAACAAGTGCAGGTGGCTACTGAAAATTGAAACAGTTTAGCCAGTGCCGTGTAGCGGTGAATAAACGTGTTTTCTTTAGTCTGTCCGTGTTTTTTCATAGATTTTATTAGTTTGTGTGTTTTTGACTTTTGAATACTCAGTTTACTTGTTGATTTGGTTGTTGTGTTGATTGTTCTTGTGTGTCCTAAATATGGCTCTTTGGAGACCTTGGGAAAATGATCCAAGCCACGAGGAGATGGTTGATGAACCTGTGCAGGCAGAATTCTTTCATAAAGATTTAGAGGAACAGACCCAAAGAGTAATCCTAAATATGTATGATTGTCTGAAAAACGAAAATCCAGATTCCTCGCAAAATCAAATTTTAAACAGAATTTGTATCCTGACAAAAATCAGTCGGTCTACCATTTATCGGGTTATAAAAAGGGGAGATGTAGTCAACCATTCCTTCCACAGAAAGCGCATAGGGCAAAAATTAAAAAGAATAGACGTGGGTTTTCAGGAAGATATTCGTCGTATAATATACGGATTTTATAAAGAAAATTTGGTGCCCACGTTGGAAATGATACGGGATAAATTAAAAGATTATACTGAAGATTTTTATAATTACAAATGCTTAGACTCACTGCACTGTATTGTAAAACTGTGTGGATTTCAATACAAAAAATTAGATAAAAGAATGGTGATTATGGAGTCGTCTCGAATCGTTGAATTGCGCCAAGAATTTTTGCACAAAGTTAAAATCTATAGAGAGCAGAAAAGAAATCTGATTTACCTGGATGAAACGTGGTATGATACCCATGATGTTGTGCAGTACGGCTGGGTTGACGACAGCAACAAGTGCATTTTAAATGCACCATGCAACCGTGGGAAACGAATCATTATTCTCCATGCTGGCAGTGAAAATGGATTTATACCTAATGCCTTGCTGTTATCTGCCAAAAATATCAAAGAATCATGTGCTGACTATCATGAGGACATGACCTCCGACTTATTTGAAAAGTGGATAGAGCAGCAGTTAATACCAAACATTTCCCCAAATTCAGTGATTATTATGGACAATGCGCCATACCATTCCCGACAGAAAAACAAAATTCCGAATACAGGCACAAAAAAACAAGACGTTATTGATTTTATGGAGGACAAGGGAATGGAAATACCACAAAAATCAACCAAAGCCATATTATTGGATCTTATTAAAAGACAAAAATTTGAAAAAGAGTATGTTGTTGACAATCTGTCTCAGCAAAATGGCCATGAAGTATTACGTCTACCTCCCTATTACTGCATTTTTAACCCGATTGAGTTGGTCTGGGCTGCTTAAAAAAAAAAGTAAGAAAACATAATCACACCCCTCAATTAAGTGAATCGCTATTGGCCACAATAAGAGATGCAGTATCTCATATTGCTGCCACAGACCTATGGAAGCAGTGTTCTAGGCATATTATTGAAAAAGAAAATGAATATTGTGTTTTGCCTCCTGTAAATCCCGTTGTAATTCCTCTACAAGATGACTCTAGCGACAGCTCCGAAGGCGAGGATGATATATAAATACCTATAATGTAAGTCTTTATATACCTTTTTATATACCTACCTGCTATGTAAATATTTGCCCATGTCAAACGTTGGAATTCTGTAATTTTTCCATTTCTTAACTTTCAGTCAACATAAATTAAACTCCCAATATAAGTATTTTTTATCCCAAATCAAAAAAATAAGAAGATAGTAAAATCCATTTATTGTGATATAAAAACATTATTATTATCGTTCTAAATAAATGACCGCACGCCTATGATACGTCATGAAATTACAAAGGACGCGCCGACCAAAGGTTTTTATGCTATTTCAAGTGACTTCAGATAAAGTATATATTATTTGGTCGATATACGAAACCCAGTATGTTACAGCAACAATATTCATAAATAAATTGCTGCAGGTCTCTATCCTTAACTATGTAACAAAGCCATCAGATAGCAGTAAGCACTTTTCGAAGGCTACCTTATCTAATTTATTATCTTATCACGTATTAAATTTAATCTTTCACGCCACACGTTGGCGCCCCGTCCCTTTATCTGAGTATTAAGCATAAAAAAGCCTCATAAAACCACGGATTCACCACCTGAAAGAGGATGTTTGTCTATTCACATTCCCATTTAGATAAGATAAGCGTTGATGGGGCAGTCTTTGATCGGTAGAAAGTATGGTGATGTCCAGGTCCATTCAAAAGGAATAATAATCACAAGAGATTTTGGGACAAAAATGGCGTCAGGCAAATTGTTGGTATCACAGTGATCAGCAGCTTTATAATAATAGAAGGTCTATCACTGACCCCAAATATGCAATAATTTAAGGTGTCCATTGTCCCTGTGTTTCTCTACGGGATGTGAAATATTTTATTATAATGCACAAATCAACGACAAAATCGAGCGGATTGTATTACTTGGTGATTTATTGTTATGTTTGGTTTGTATGTCTAAATGCTATAGAGACTCGTTGTGAGTTATAAAAATGCAAAATAAGGTCGCACACAGTGACAATTACTTGCCAAGATCGACTTACATCCAAGTTAATAAGAAAAAATCAGTTCCAAGCATACTATGGTGGTAGTTATACCGCAATGTCATAGGAAACAGGCAAACAGAGTGACTAATGGTACCATGTGCGAAGGTTAACTTCCGTAAGGGAAATTGCATACTCCGCAAGCAGATCTTGCCCCATCTGTTACTCGCTCTTGGATACACACAAGATTATCAGCAAGGAATATAGATTTTTGTGAAAGTTTACCTAGGTACTGTAAAACTTCGGTAAAACTACTGTTTTTTCACTTGAAACTTATAGAGTGTAGTCTGATAAATTATTTTATATCATAAAGGGTGTGGATGAAGCACGCTTTTCATGGAATTTTTGTCTCAAAACACTGTATTTTTAGCAGTTATTTCCCCATTATTTCCACCGCCATCTACCATGTGACGCTGAAGTCTGTGGATATGTCATTATATGAGAGGCGCTTGCCTGCGGTGTTGCCGGATTGAGCTCTGTATTTAGGGAAAATATGAAAAGTGGAAAATTTATATAAATTTATATTAATGAAACACAAACACAAAAAACTGAAACAAACAACAGTAGTAAAATTAAAAGTGATTCTTACTAAGTATAAAACAAAAAATAACAAACAGCAGTAAAATAAAAAGCAATTCTAAGTGATTATAAAAAACCAAAAATTAAAACAGTAGTAAAACAAAAAAACAATTCCATTTAATTATAAAAAAACAAAAAATAACAAACAGTAAAATAAACAGCAATTTGGATGGAATGAAATTGTTCTTCGTTTTACAACTGTTTTTACTTTTTGTTTTGTGTTGTCACTTAGTATTGCTTTTTATTCAACATGGAATTGTTTTTTTTTTGTTTTACTACTGTTTTTATTTTTTGTTTTTTATAATCACTTAGAATTGCTTTTTATTTTACTGCTGTTTGTTATTTTTTGATTTTTATAATTACGTGGAATTAGTTTTTGTTTTAATACTGTTTTAACTTTTTGTTTTTTATAATCACTTATAATTGCTTTTCATTTTACTGCTGTTATTTTTTGCTTTATACTTAGTAAGAATCACTTTTAATTTTACTACTGTTGTTTGTTTCAGTTTTTTCTTTTGTGTTTCATTAATTAATATAAATGTATATAAATTTTCAACTTTTCATATTTTTCCCTAAATTCGGAGCCCAATCCGGCAACACCGCAGGCAAGCGCCTCTCATATATGACATATGCGTAGACGTCTACGTCATATGGCAGATAGATGGCGGTGGAAATAATGATGGAAAGAATAGCTAAAAATACAATGTTTTGGGATTTTTTTTTTTCATGAAAAGCGTGCTACATACACCCTTTTTTTGTTTATAAGTAATCTATCAGACTACAGACTAAAAGTTTTAAGAGAAAAAACAGTGAAATCAGAAGTTCTACAAGACGCAACAGCACCTTTACCTACCTTTAAGGAGCACGGATAGAAACATTTTCTAAGGAGAAGCCAAATCCTAAAAGTCCTCAAAATTGCAAAAAGATCATGCTAAATATGCGGTTCTGAAAAGATGCCGCACCTTTGCAGCCATATCGGATTTGTCCATATTAGTGTAGTCTACGGTGTCTCCGAAATGCTACCGAAGCTTCGCGAGTGCATGCAGATCGTTTTCCAAGATTCTTCGAGATTTCTTTTTTGCAATAGTAACGCCAAGTACTTATTGGACCGCCCTCGTACACGTGTCTGTCTGTCTGTCTGTCTGCAGACAACTGTCAACGACACTTACGAGTGACAGCTGAACCAGAAATTTCTTTTCGATTAACAGTGATTACTTCATCTATTTCTTTTCTACTTTTTCGCTGTTGTTTCACTGCACATTACCCTTGTTATTACAAACGTAGTTGCTTCTGAAAAGGAAAGTCCCAACTTTCAGGACACCCTGTATACTAAGTCTGTTAGTTTAGCGATGTGATAAAGATATTACTTGTAGAATCCTTTTATGAATCTGCGCTGAACAACGTAAACCAACAACCCGTGTAGGTGGGTAGGACAAATGCAGTAAAATAAGTTTCAGTATTCATTTGCAATTTGCTAGAATGGTACCTAGATTTACATACCAACATTGTTGTAGCAGGTGCCATTGTGGTGGTGCATGTGTTCGTGACAGTCGCATTTATTATCTCGACATACTGTGTGGGCCGTTTTCGTATAGCACTGAACGTCTTCGATGCAGCTACTACCCATCCCTTCAGACACTGAAATAAAAAAACACCTTTCAAATAGGTTGACTCTGTACGTTATTTTGTCGTCAATCAAAGTATGTTCCAAGGCAGGAACTTCCCACCATAGACAAAGTATTACAGGAGGTTAATAGTACCACATTCTATAGTTTACTCCAAGGAGTTCATTTCGAGTAAAGAAATCGTAGCAGAAATAGTATTTTGATGGTCAGCCAAGAGATTATTTTATGGAGAAGAAATTATTTGAAATCAATAAAGAAATATCGCGACCAGGGTAGGAAGATTCATTACTTGGATGAAACATGGATAAACGCAGAACATACAAAACCTAATGTATGGGCTGACTCTACAATTAAATTAGCAAGACAAGCTTTCTTAGATGGACTAAAGAATTGTGAAAAGTATGTGCACTTCTTTCTATAAAAATCATTTATTTTCTTAGATTATTCCAAGACCAATGAGGGAAATACGGACCTGTAAAATCTCGCACTTGGGCATGTTGTGTTTTGTCTGGGCGTAAATAGACTATGAATGGAGTCTATAATAGGTATGATCCCCTAACTATACTAAGTGACATATAAATCCGAACACCCAGTTTAAATGGTTTTATTTTAATAAAATTTTGTATAAGTACTTAATGAAGCATAATAAGTAAATGATAAAAATTTCAAAATGATTGCACTGCTTTAAAGCCCTTTGACCTTTAATAATGTGTGGATGCACCCTGATGTGCTACGCATTCTCCAACGCGCCTAGGCATGCTTCTGATCAGGTGGTCAATGTCCTCCTGTGGTATCTCATTCCAGGCAACCACCAACTCCTCTCGAAGTGCTTCTAGAGTTTGAGGAGGACGTTGAAAATTGAGCAATCTCCTACCCATCATATCCCACACGTGCTCAATTGGGGATAAGTCGGGAGATCTTGGTGGCCATGGTAACAATGTGACATCATTATGTTGAAAGAAGTCTATTGTGACTCTTGCAACATGTGGTCGGGCATTATCTTGTTGGAAAGTTGGATCTGCCAGGGTGTCAAGATAGGGTAAAAGATGGGGTTCTAGAACTTCGTGGATATAACGCTGCGCGTTCATGCTACCTCTGATGAAGATTAAAGGTGATTTGGAACCATAAGCTATAGCACCCCAAACCATAACTCCAACAGTGTGATGAACATGTCTTTCAACAAAAAACTGTGGATTCCTCCTTTCACCACGTCGCCTTCTAACCCTGGCACGACCATCGTGCATGCCTAAACAAAATCGAGACTCGTCACTAAAGACAATACTGTTCCATTCCTGATCCCAGAGTGACCGTTGTCTGCACCACTCAAGGCGATTACGTCGGTGTTCTCGAGTTAAAGGGAGGACCCAGTGTGGCCGGTATGAAAACAAGCCAAAACTTCTCATTCGTCGGTAAACACTTCGCATGCCAATAGGTCTTCCGTGTTCTGCAAACCATTCATTTGCAATGGACCTGGTAGTGGAGAAACGGTCCCTTAAGGACAATAATCTTAGGCGGCGATCTTCACGGTCTGTTGTTCTACGGCGGCGTCCAGTGCCCCTTGCTCTTTGCGTACGGCCTTCTCGAAGCCATGCCTGACAACACCTAACCACAGTGTCTACACTTCTTTGCACTCTAACTGCAATTGCCCGAAAAGAAAGTCCAGCTTCCCGAAGTCCCACTATACGGCCCCTATCAAACTCACTAAGTTGACGAAATCGTAGAGGTCTCCGTACTCTAGGCATCGTAACCGATCGTAAAGGATGTCAAGAACCAAAATCCGCCAACGTTGAATCTTTACTGCGGCTGAAATATTCATTTTTAGAGCGTTAGTGAATTAAAAAAAAACAGCATAAAAACCCGAATGTCCAACTGATAAGGCTGAAAATTTTGTCACTTGTTATTTACAGTAAGATAAATACATTCACCAACTTTGATTAAAATAAAACCATTTAAACTGGGTGTTCGGATTTATATGTCACTTAGTAAATAAAATGCATACCAATCATTATACACTAAAGGTTATTATTATTATTATTACATCTGAAAACAACCCAAGCTATAAAAACTAGTCTCATTACATAATTTACAGACCTCGTACGTACATTTTTAAATCACTACCAAGATTTTTTTATGCTGGTAGCGGCGTAGAATATACGCTCTACTTACCGCGCTTTATTCCATGTTTATACTGCATTTTCTATATTAAGGGCTGAAACAAAACATTGGCCCGCCTATCAGATGCAGGCATCAGACGGAACATATATATAATTCCAGCTTTTAACTAATTGCGGAGAGAACATCTGGGACATCTCTTACAATTTATCACATCGAAGCAGAAGAAACGGTTTGGTAGCAGTCGAATTAAAATGTTTAGATACCGGTGTTTCTAGAAATCTGTTTCGAACAAGATGTGATAATATTAACGAGAGTTATCCGTCATTGTCAAAAAGATATTTGAATAGGATCTGGTGTAACCGTAGAAACAGAAAGGCTATAAAGATTTATTTCTTGAATAAAAACCGAATATCGTAAACGCTAGTAAACAAACGATCCAAAAATAAGGAAATGTGTTTGGATCTCACATGTTATCCACAAGATTTACCCTGAGAATTGGCTATATTCAGTCCTTTAGGAGTTTGTTACTCTAGCGTCGAAACGTAAAACGTTCCGCGAAATGTACAGGGTGGCGCATAATAGAATGACACTTTCAGCATGTTTAAATATGAAAAAAAATATTTAAACATAAATTGCGTAGTGACATGACTCTGCCGAGAGAACTTAAAAGTTCGCTGGCATTTTATATTATTATTTCTCGCAAACACGTAACCTTTGTTAGTGCGGATATCGTCCGGATAGCAAGAAAATGCTTCAGAGCCAATTATAACAAAGGCCTACGATGATTACTAACAAGCTCAGTTCTTATGTGGTCAGTCGGTAGCCCTTTTGTAGTTCAACTGCTCATAATTCATTTAGTCTCCAGTGCTCGTAAACAAGATACAATTTACTAGAAAATGTCATAAATCGCTTGGAAAAATGAGAATTCTTTTGTGTCTCCAATTAACGAGGATATTTACGATTACATCAGGGACATTCCTAAATAAAAATATCTTCTATTTTTATATTACAATCGAATTATACTGTTGAGGATAGTCCCTCATATAGATATATAGTCAACGCCAAACAAAGTGGCGTGCACGTCATCAAGGTGGGTGTGTTGAAAAATTTACATTGTTGCCAAACTTTTTGTAAAATAATAAAATTTATTATTTACATATCTAGGTTTATAAGCAATATTAACCTCAAATGAGAACAAAAATAATAGTATAATAAAATTATAGATCTGTACTTGCATAATCATTAAGTATGACAATTATTGATCAGATGACACTATGAAACTACCATATTTAATTGATAGCTTAAAGGTACTGAATAAAAATCCAAATGGGGTCCTCCAAATTTTATGCATGGTATTTATTTTACAGAATTCATACAGAAAAATGCATTCTAAAATTAGGTAAGCTACTGGTGTAAGCTTTTTCTGTACAATAAAGTTAGTCGGAGTTTGTTTCTTCAGCGCTGTCTGAATCTGAATCTTCATCACTCTCAAAGTTGATTATTAAAGGTTCGATGTCTGGACGATCAAAAATTCGTTCTCTTTCATACCATTTAAAAATTTCTTGCTCAGTATGTCGAACACTATTTTTCCACATGTCTGGGGTAAACGTTTGTAGAGCCTCGTTCCACATATCCAAACAGTCTTTTTCACTGTTACCATCTCTACCAATATGTCTGTTATAGTAACCTTTTGCTATGCCCCAAATTAACTCAATAGGGTTAAATATACAATGGTAAGGAGGCAGACGAAGAACTTTGTGCCCATGTTGTTCCGCCAATTCATCAATCACGTATATTTTAGGTGGTTTCTTTCTAAAAAAGCAGTTATTTTAAGAATAGGAATAAACAAAAGAAATATAAACTGTCGACCAAAATATATATAATTAAGAAGCATTATGTACCGAGCAACAATACTCAATAGCTCTGTTTTAAACATTGTGTTTAAAAATGGTATGTTTTGATTTGTCAACCAGTCTTGGATATTTTTTTTTGTCCATGCATTGTTGGGCACTTTGTTCAATATCATGCTGTGATAAGGGGCGTTATCCAGTATAATCATAGATGGACTCTCCAATTTTTCTAATAACTGATGTTGAAACCATTTCAAAAAATTGTCCTGGTTCATCTCTCCATGGTAATCGCTCAATTTTGTTTTCGAAGAAAATATCGCTTCACTACCCTCAATAAACCCATTTTCATTTCCAGCATGTAATATAATGTATCTAAAATATATTAGTTTTAAATTTTATAGTGCAAATTGTGTAAAAGTACATACCTTTTACCATCTGTTTTAATAGCTTTCACGCTTTTTTGCTTTCCATTTTGCCAAGAGCGACCTATGGTCCCATTTTGAAATATCCAAGTTTCATCGAGGAAGACAAACTGGTATAAGGCCTCAACCTTGGCTTGATTGTATTGCCTTAGAAATTCCACCCTTTTCAAAGCTATACTTGGTAGTTCCATGAGCCCTCGTCGCGGATTGTCCTTAAGCCACTTAAATCCAAGATCTCTAAGCAACCGCCTTAAAGACGTGGCACTACCATCAAATAATGCCCTATCTCTTAATCGAGACCATAAAGTTTGTATCGTAACTTGTTCTTCTGAAACCATGTGTAATATGACATTATAATTTAGTTAACAAATTAATGCAAATTTCTGATAAGTTATTATAATAAGATCTTACTTTTGTGATACATATTATAGATCACTTCTCGAATGGCACTTGTATCCAATGTCGCTGTGTTGGTTACACGTTTAATATAACTCCGCTTTTTCTTGGGCGATTCTAAATTTGCATCACTTTTCACACCCTCGGAAATACGACTAACTGTCCTTAAACTAATTTTTAAAGCAGCAGCAACACGCTACAAAAAATGAAATAAAATTTCACTATTATTAATATACATTACATATAATTATTAGTAACCTACCTCTTGAACAGCATTTAAAGGCAACAAAGGCCCGTTGTTGTCCCTTTCTTGCTCAAAGTAGTGCATTAACGAGGCCACGAGTTCCTTACACCGACTATTTAACTGTTTGGGCATCTTTATATACCAAAATTGCCTTTATCTACTCGTAAAATGAATAATTTTGTTTTGAAACAAACAGTTGTTGATTTACAGTATGCGGGGCCAAAGGATTTATAAAGATTTGAAATGCCACAAATTGATTCAGTGTCAAAATTAATACAAATGTCAGTTCCCAGTTTAAATAAGTTTCAAGGTGACAATGTGTCAACGCTGCGAAATCGGTTTAGTGCGTTTACATGTCGATAAGTGATTGGAGCGTTTGCAAAACATTTTATTTCGCATAATGCGTATAAATTTATCAGAAAGCAACTTATGTGATATTTTAATAACAATGTTTATATGACTATTAACCATAATAAGAAAGTAATGACCATTTTACAATTTATATATCACATTAATATGAAACTGCAATAGAGCAATTGTTTGTGATAGAAACCTAGGCATTAGGTCGCGGAATTTTTATCGTGATGACGTGCACGCCACTTTGTTTGGCGTTGACTATAGCTCTAGAACTTTTCGTCAATTTCATTAGTTTCCCAGTCGAAAAAAATTGCTGCTGTGTAATCTAATATTTCCTGAGGTCGGCCAGATTTGTGGAGCTAATTGGTGAGATCCTTCCATAATCTAACACTATTTTGCGACCGTAATACCAAATTGACAATTGTTGACAAATTCATTCTGTCAAAATGAACTTTATGAGAAATTGATATAAGGAGTGTTCATATGCAATATGACCAAAAAGAAGAAAAATGAATGCGAAAACGAAACTCTAGAACCAAATATTCAAATTAGCGTAAGTGAAAAGAGTACCAAAGAAACTATTGTCAAAGAGAATCATTATCTTAAACAGCTTTTGGAAGAAAAGGAAAGATTTATATATCAGTTGGTAAATGAAAACCGTAGACTACACAAATTTTAGAGCAAAATACTCCTAAAATCAATAGCAACAACAAGAACAACAATGACATGAAATCCATATTAGTTACTCCCGAAAGGACCCAACATTATAATGACACCAGAAAAGACCTAACTAATAACATTAATCTAGCAAGTATTGCAGTCAAGATAGAGAAAGTAAATAATTATAAAAACGGCGGCGTCGAAATTCAAGTTGAGCAATGTTATTACCAGAAACTCAAAAATGAACTAGAAACTAAGTTGAAGGGAAAATACAATATATCAAGAGCAAGAGAAATGAGACCGAAAATTAAGATCATAGGCTACAAAACTGAAAAAAAAACCTTCAGAAGCAGAAATTAAAGAAGAAATCATATCCCAGAATACATTCGTTAATGAAAACGAAATCGAAATCACTTTTGTACGACACATACCATTCCGAAATTCTTATACTATATTCGCTGAAGTTTCTGGAGAGAGACATATTTATCAACAAGAAATCAAGAATACTACTAGGTTGGCAAAACTTATTTGTCTATGACAATAACCAGATATCGCAGTGTAGTAAATGCTTGAAGTTTGGTCACACAGACAAAAAAATTGTACTGTAAACATTTTAAAATGTTCTAACTGTATGAACTATAACGTTAAGCATAATAAGAATAATGATGTTGGTCACTCGCCCACAGACAAAAAATGCCCGTCGTATTTATATTTTCAAAAACAGTATTCATCCAGAATAATGTTTTGAGCGTTTAGTTCTTTTTACGTTTTTCGAGCTACATATCATTTGCAAAATTTTACATGGATAGTTACGTAAATAATTTTCAGGTTAATGATATCAATACAAATATTGCTCAAGACGCAAATGTTCTTAATAAATGGTTAGAATATTCTAATTTCAATGTTAGCTTATATCACATGAATATACGAAGCCTAAACCAAAATTTTGACTGTTTTAATATCTTCCTAACTACAATTAAACACAAATTTGATATAATAATATTAACAGAAACTTGGAAAATTAATGATGTATCTTTGTTCTGTTTGGAAGGTTATGATACGCTTTACAATAATGGTACGTATAACCAGAATGATGGGGTGGTAGTATATGTAAGAAATGATATCAACTACAGATGTGATTTTGTTAAATTTGATGACGGTATCACAGTGTTGGATTTGAGATTGAGAATTAATAACAAAAGTGTAAAAGCCACATCTGTCTATCGACCACCATCATCAAACCCTCATACATTTGTAGAAAATCTTGAAAAATTTTTGTTAGATAACAAAAATGCCGTACAGTCACACCACATCATAATAGGAGATATGAATATTAATATACTCCAACATACCAAATTAGTAAACAAATACCTCACTGTAATGCAGAGCAATGGATTCATATCAAATATAAATTTACCAACAAGAGTAGTCAATAATAGTTCCAGTTCTTGCATTGATCATTGTTTCATCAAAAAATTTTCAAATTTCTTTCGGTACATACCGTTAATTGTTGAAAACCATATTACCGATCATTTACCCACTGTAATACTTATATCATCACCAGAAAAAAATAAAAGTAGATCCATCTCCAATAATGAAACAGTGAAATTTAGGTGTTTTGTCGATAATAAAAAACTACTTGCAAATATCAAATTAGAATCGTGGACAGCAGTGTACTGTGCAACAAATGTTAATGATGCTGCAAACACACTCATTGAACGCATAAAATATTTAATTGAATGTAGTACAAACAGAGTTAAAATTAAACATTTTGACAGAAGCAGGAATCGCTGGATAACTAAAGGTTTGATAAAGTCTGCCAACAAAAAAGATGAACTATACAAAATAATGAAAGCATCGCCATGTGCAGATACCTCCCATAAATATAAAGAATATACAAATATTTTTATTAATCTAGTTAGAGAAGCAAAACGCCAATTCTATCTAAAAAAATTACAAGATGCCAAATCTGATCCAAGAAAACTGTGGTCAGTTGTCGATCACTTAACTGACAAAGACGTTCAAGAAAAGCCAAATATTGATGAAATTAAGAATCGTGATGGAACAATATTAACAGATTAACGACAAATATCCGATGCATTCTTAAATTTTTTCACTAATTTAGCATCCAGTATTAAAAAAATGGTTTCGAACGAAAAGTTCACAAAAACCCAACTTCCCAATTCATTCTTTTTAGAAAGCGTTAGTCCGATTGAAGTACAAGAAGCTGTCCTATCACTTAAAACCAAAAAAAGCCCTGGTGTGGATGGTATCAAAGCTGAGCATTTAAAAATAATAGCCTACGACTTAGCCGAACCACTTTCTTACGTCATTAATTGGTGTTTCCAATCTGGAATTTGTCCTGATGCATTTAAAACAACTGTTATTACTCCTGTTTATAAAAGCGGTGACAGAACGGAAACATCAAATTATAGACCCATATCAGTACTATCGAATATAGCCAAAATTTTCGAAAAATTACTATTTTCGAAAGGATATTACAATTTTTGGACAAAAACAAAATTATATGTTCTGACCAATATGGATTTAGAAAAGGAAAATCTACTACAGATGCAATTTTGGCTGCAATGGATGAAATTAACTCTAATGTCAACAAAAAGATACCTACTATTCGTATCTTTGTTGATCTAAAAAATGCCTTTGATACGGTTAACCATGTCGAGCTTCTGAAAGTTATGGAAAGATTGGGATTTAGGGGAGCGTCACAAATCCTTTTAAAAAATTACCTTTCAAGTCGGGCACAGACTGTCAAAATCACTAACACTTACAGTAAAAACATGTACATCAAGTGTGGTGTGCCTCAAGGAACAGTACTAGGCCCACTATTATTTAGTCTTTACTTAAATGACTTATTCAAAATTAACAGTTCTGGAAAGATTATATGTTTTGCAGATGACACCCTCGTATTATATAAAGCTGATGACTGGAGCACACTGAAGCAAATAGCTGAAAAGGATTTTATAAGGATCATTGACTGGTTCGATACTAAAATTTTAACAGTCAAGTTCAAAAAAACAAAATTTATTGCATTTACATCCTATTCAAAATTTTTACCTACCTTCGAACAAATTTCCGTTAATTATCATGGCCAAAAGACCAAAATCGATAGAGTTAACACTTTGAAATATCTTGGAATATTTATAGACTCACATCTAAGGTGGGATAACCATATTAAATATGTTATCAAAAAAATTAGAAATGTTGCCTATAAACTCAAAATGCTTGCTAACATTCTTACAGAAAGTTATCTGCGAATCCTATACCATGCCTTAGTTGAAACCCATATAATATACGGCATCACAGCCTGGGGTGCCGCCTGCAAGACATATATTTCTGACCTGAATATAGCACAAAAAACTGTTTTGAAAGCCATTTTCCATAAGCCAAGATTATATCCAACGAACAACTTACATCAAGAAACAGCGATAGTTGATACAAGACAACTTTATTTCTTACATGCCACCACCTTATACCATAAGTATTGTAATAAAAAGAAAAAATCCTATAAACACGAGCATAACACACGATTTCGAATAGGCTCATCTAATATCCAAAGACCACACAAAACATTATTCAAAAAATCATTTAAATTCTTAGCAGCTAAATTATATAATGTAGCACCAAACGAAATAAAGATACTTAATTTTGGAAAAAAAATTAGAAGAAAATTGAAAGTAGTAATGTGCAGCGAATGACTATACATAATTATATAGAAAACTAAAACTACAAATTTCCAATTACATTAATACCTTTTAGATTTAACAATAATTGTTATACACATATATGATTGATTGTTAGTTATTAAGATATAAACCACACACAGGCGATGCCTTCTGTGGTTTTTTCATATTTATTTGCCCATTTTTTGTATTTTGGCGAATAAGTATTATTATTATTATATTTTTTTATGTTATGAAAGTCTTACTCACCCTGTAGACATTTCCTGCCTGATGGCTCCTCCACGTACCCCTCGTGGCACGTACACACGTTGTTTGGACCACATTCAGACTGCAGAGGAAGACATTCTTCGGTAGTGTTACACCGTTCCCCAATTTTGGTGACTGTTGGCGTTTTAACCTCTTCTTTACAGAATCTGGAACCGTTGCAGATGCAAACGTTGCCTTTGCATTTTGCATCTTGAAGACCTATGCAGTCTTCGTCACCTGTGCATGGCGTGAAACCTGCACAATATCATTCACATTTTCCGAAATGTTTACCAATACCGAATCTTTAAACGTTTATTATCCTCTATGATTTTCAATAGAAGATATTTTCAAATACAGTCAGGAAAAAAATACCAGATTTATCCCAAAAAACAAATGCGAAAATTCTGCCACTGGTCTCAATAAATGTAATCTACTTAGACCATAATGTTATGAATACCACCGCCAAATTGCAACAAAATTAGGTAAAGGAAAGATATTTACGAAAAACCTTTTAAATAACTTTAAAAAATATCTAGTTCATGTTGATTTCAATATTTTTTCTACTCACTTTTGTATGCATTAGCACTTGTGAAAATGCAATAGATTGTAACAACACTCAAACAAACTGATGATAGTAACATTTTAGCAACGTTAATGTTGACTTTGTTAGGGAACTGGTCGAAGAGGTTTGAAGAGAATTACTAAAGCAAACTTCACTGTGGTAGGTAGTCGGTAGGAAAAAACTTCGGTTTTTCTATATTGGTATGTGTAAAAGATGTGAAATATGGAGGAAAAAATAGATTTGTGGTCTATTATCAAACTGCTTGGCAGTCAACAGGAAACGTGCTAATGGTAAAATACTGATGCAATGCAGATAAAATAAATCGTAGAATAGTATAAACACGACGTTTTGAATGCGTATATTGTTATTCATCGTTTTTATTGATTCATATTTCATATAAAAAAATTAAAAAGCCTGAAGCTGTGATCTGGACGAAAACATGGTTCTTGGGTAAATTGGATATGTTAATTTTGAGTTCGACGTCAATTTGGCGAACTTTGGCCTATGCTGAGGTTTTTCACGAAAAATAAGGCATGTTTTTCACATCTCACAACTATCTAAGACCGACCCTTACAGCTACAGGTATATAGCTACGCTTTCAGCTATAAATAAGGTGATGGACAGGTGCATTCATCGCGAGATTTTGAGGTATCTCGAATGTCACGGCTTGATTAGCGACAGGCCCTAAGGTAAGTCTAGATGATGATTACGTCATCGGTAGTTATTTACTTTTTTACACGAATGGCAACCCTCACATTGTCTTTGATTGAAAACGAAACGCTTTTTCGGGGATTCCCGCAAATAATGCATACGTTTAGTGAACAGCGCTTTAGAACAGAGTAGGGGAATTACCGCGCGGGGATGGGGGGGTAAATAATTGTAATAAATCTGCTTAGACATAACAAAACGATAAATGAAACAAGATTTACACACTGATGAACTCCATCCTTCCTTTTATATAAACCGGTACCACCTTTCCATTCTTCAGAATTTTCGGAAATCTCCCTAGGCAAAAATACAAATTAATCACATGTACTAGGGGCTTATTAATAGTGTGTAATGCATGTTTCAAGAGAAACCCAGGAATTTTATCTGGACCAGCTGAATTCTTACTCTTGAGTTTATCTTTTAACAGGTTCTTCATTGAACGTTTCGTTCTCTTTATGATGCATTATATCAGTCGTTCCTGCCAGGAATATTGCCGTCGATGCTACTAATTTCCTAGAAGACCTAGAGTCTACTTTATTGTTCTCAACACATTTTATAGTCAGTCAGATTTAAGCCTTTGTACTGTTATGTCGTGTAGATTCACAACGTTAAATATTCTCATATCATTAAGGAACACCCTGAATATCCCCGTTTTGACGATATCAGCGACATTATTTCAGCCCTGTACAATGACATATTACAATCATTTCTCAAAGAGAGTGAAACACATGTTGGCGGTAACCTGAAACTGAAGAGACAGCAGCGTGAGCGACAGATAATATCTTACTGAAATTAAGGGCTTAATGAAAGTCATTTTTATTGTTTAATTGAGACCGTCCTGAAATCTATGCGTGGAAAACGTCGTTTCATGGCTTCTTACGGTCGTAAAATGTTCAACGAATACCTTGCATCTGCATTCAAAGGAACTGTTGAGCTCCGGCGGCGTATGAGAATTAGAATATTAAATTGTCATATCTAGCATGTTGGCCTGCCACGTGAATATGGTGCACTTGGAAAATAAAGAATGTCCTGAAAGTTTTGGCAGAAAATATTCAACGGATTCTTTTTAATGAAGAAATTTATTAAAAACTAACTACTGTAAGCTTACGAAATATTTCAAACACATTTTTTGCATGCGAGTCCAGCCCTGTAGCACACAAAACCTTCCCAGAAGATTCACAAGGCTGCTCAGCGCGACAGCCCTTACGCCTATTTACATTATACATTCCATTCCTTCTCTGGGTACTTGTTCCCAGGATATAGTTTGTTAAAGATACGGGCGTGGACGGCGATGCAGTCCAATTATTGCGTGGAGGAGATCGCTTCTTAGATCAGGTAGTGCGCTTTGTGAACTTGATTACAGTGTTGATGTGCTATTGGCTGTAGTGTTTTGGTTACAGGATTAGTCTGTGTGACGATCCCGTGATTCAGTCGATGACGAATCCGTAGTAGTAGTTGGGGTACATTAATGTAATGGTAAATAGTAGATTTGTGCATAGATTTGGCCGAAGTGGCGTCCTTGGTCTGAATGACCACTTAACTATCTTCTCTTGGCAATCGCTGGAGTCTGAATGCATCTCATGGCAGGATGTGTGAAGGGATTGTTACTTTAATGATAGTCATATTGCTCGGTTACCTCTGATTCAGGGGTAATGTGGGAGCTTTGGGGTATTGACACAACGGCCCTTGGCCAGCGTGATATCCCGGTTCCTGGACTGTCTATTTGTAACAATCGTTAAACTCAGCACGTCTGACCATACACCTAGCGACCAAAGAGTTAGAGTTAGTCTGTGTGACAACGCCGAGTTAGTCTGTGTGACGACTCCTAGTCAGTCTGTGTGACGACTCCTAGTCAGTCAGTGTGACGACTCCTAGTCAGTCTGTGTGACGACTTAATGATCAGTCTGTGTGACGGTCAGGATGAGTCTGTGTGACGATCCCGTGATTCAGTCGATGACGAATCCGTAGTAGTAGTTGAGGTACATTAATGTAATGGTAAATAGTAGATTTGTGCATGTGATGTCATGAGTCAGTTGAATACGGGAGATACTCATAAGTCTTTTTCTAAAAATAGGTGTTGGCCCCGACAATCCGATCATATCGCTCTTATCGCTTGCCAAAGGAGGATAACTCGTTGTCGTTTCGTCACCAAGTAAGTGACTTTGATATTGTTTACGTACTGCCCATGTAGTAAAAATGAAATGATACGGAGCGGTACTTTGAAATCTTCTTCTTTTCACGTTTATCGTTATGTTGCTATTATCATATCTCTTTCGTCTCCTACACTACTACTATATACTTACTTATACAGTACTTACTACTACTATAACTGTAGTTATCATAAATACAACTCAGTACTTAACTAAACTGTACTATCGAATTATGTGGAGTGGCCCATCTTAAAGCGGAAACTTCAAAATCAATTGAATGTAAACTAAGTGAACAAACTTTTGTTTCCAAAGGCAACTTGATATTATTTTGTCTTTGTTAAAATTAAAGCCAACGAATTTTATGCCAAAACGTTTAGGACAAACATTATTTCAAAAATAAGGTTACCGCATTCTTTCAGGCACCAGGAATTTTTTCAGATTCAAGCTAAAGATGTCAACTTTGGGTGAGTTGATCCTATATTCTATCAACGTGGATTTTGCCACGCTTTTTTTGGTTAATTAATAAAACTCAACGATAAATACTATCTAACGGTTGGTCCAAGCAAAACAGTTGTCTAGAGACGTGCAAATTTAGGCACTAGATCAATACAGCAGAGAGTAGGGGGGGGGGGGAGATTAAGAGCGCCAGTGACTCCCCCGAATCGGAAGTTGTTTTGCTTGATCACCACACAAAAGGAGAATATAACAGAGATGACGAAATTTAAGTAACAGTACATACAGAGAGAGCCAAATAACACAAGATATTAAATGACTCACAATATATTGATTAATAAAAGAAAACGCACATGTGCTCCACTATTGGAGTGCGAGTAATAAAAAAAAGTAAGGATGTTATACATCTTAAATACAACCTGACAAAATTATTTTTCAAATTTTCAAATCTACTCTACTCTCTGTCTGAGATAAAACTACTCATTGAAAACAATCGCACATGAAGCAAAACCATGTACATTTTTTTGTACAAGAAAGGTAAAGTAAAAGGAAAAAAAAAAGATAAAACTACTAAACTAACATACCCTTGTTCAAAAAAGTTATGGCATCTCAAAAATCAAAATCACGATCAATGTAATAGAAGGTGCCCCCATATTTGAATACGTAGAATGTCCAATAAAATCAAGAAGTCTCTAAGAATTTCAATAAGCAATAATAAATGTATAAAGATCTATGAAATTGTTAATTAGAATGATATTTTACCTGTTCACATCAGGGCTTTTTTTCAAGGGGATGGCTTCCACCAATTTGCAAAACTGCAACAAGATGCAACCAACTGGAGGAGAAAGGATGATTATTCTCTTCTGTTTCTATTGACTAAAAGAAAGCAGATGTTGAACGAACGTCATGAAGACACGCATTAAGGCACGTGGTCCGAAGTATACAAAAAGCACCCAAACCAAAATGACTAAACTTAAGTTACACAAAAAGGGTGCTAGTCCATGAATTGGCGCTTGGGGACTAATGTCCCAGAGTCCGGAAAATGACGAAACGATCCCTGCACCACGACCTCAACAAAAACAGAAAAGCGAATCACGCAGAACACGTAACGTTCGAGAAGAAGGTATCTTGAGTGGCCTTGAAGAAAATATGTTTTATAGGAACCCAACTAACAAAGTTTTTGCTGATCGTCAACACCATACTGAATCGCTGAGAAAGAAAGATATAACACGAGTGAAATTACACAATCAATAAACTATTAAATTTGCCAAATGAAAATCATTGAAAAGGGTTTGGCCTAGGAATGGGCACTCTATTATCAATGAAGAGAAATTCAAATTACTGATAAGTGATAAATAGAAAAAAAGGTACAATTTCAGAGGGTTAAGGCCTATTAATAGCAGCACATATTTCGCTCTTCTACCGAACACAACATCCTATACGTTTCCGCTTAGAAACCCATAAAACTGTATACTTATCTTGCTACGTCTCGCGTCTTCTTAATAGCCCCATAAAATCTTTCCCCTCAACCACAAAATATCTCTATTTAAATACAACCGATTGTAAATCGTTCAGTTCACAAATCGTGTCCATCATCACGTGAGAAAAAACTGACGCGGATAATGCTTCAACTCACGCTTAATGAGGGCATAGGACATATTAATAATTTCTTCATTTTATAGGCAGATAACGTCGCTATTTTAACATGTTTATCGGTTTTTCAGAGGGTTCAATTCAGTTCCTTGTCCGTCAGTATTTACTAATACGTTTTATGATATCGAAGATCATACACGAAGAACGTTTCATAATCATATTTTTGTTCCATACTCCAGAAATATACTAAGTGACATATAAATCCGAACACCCAGTTTAAATGGTTTTATTTTAATAAAAGTTGGTGAATGTATTTATCTTACTGTAAATAACAAGTGAAACAATTTTCAGCCTTATCAGTTGGACATTCCGGTTTTTATACTGCTTTTTTTTAATTCA